GGATGTAGAGATTACTTAAATAAAGACTTTAATAATAATAAAAAAAGATTGTTTGCTATTGGTATTAGATCCATAGTCAACAGCAGCGATTGAGCTTAATAATTTATAATCAGATCATGCTTCGTGTTTCAAAAAACCATTTTATAAAATATATGTGTTGAAAATAAGAGTGTAAGAGAAAGCCCAGTACTTGCTTGGCACTAAGGAAGTATTCTGGTTGAATTACCCAGGGATAATTTAATTCTTCCCATAGATCATAAAAATTTCATTACTCATGAATTGAGGCCAAGGCTGCTGAGCACAAGGATGTGTACTAGTTTTGCCTGTGGTTTTCACCCCTGTTGGCCAGAATAGAAGGTAGTTCGTTCGGCTGGGGCCCTGGGGCCCCGGGGCTGCCCCAGCACACAGTCAGAGAAAGATTCAGAGCCCGACCTTCATACCGCAGGGCACTCTTGCCAAGACAGAGCATCTGGGCTCCAGGGCTTGCATTCTCCAGCCCAGGCAGAGACGAGAGCAGTCATTTCCTGAGACGCTCACCCTGAGTCAAAATGCCTCTGTGCTATGCGGTTTGCATACACGGAGCCTGTAAATGCAGAGGCTCACGTCCAGGAATACGAAGCTGGATTAATGACGTCCAGGAGTACGAAGCTAGATTAATGTATTCACTGATGGGGATTCTCTTTATATTTGTAATCATGTATTTCTTTTTTAAAAAAACAGCTTTATTGAATTATATTTTACATATCGTAGATCTCACCCATTTCAAGTATACAAGTCAGTGATTTCTAGAAACTCTACCAAGTGGTGTAGCCGTGACCATACATCAGCCTGGAGACAGTTTCTGCCCCCAGTAAGGTCCCTCATGTCCTCTCATAGTTAACCCCCAGCCCCAGGCAACCACTGATCTACTCTCTGTCTCTCTTGTAATAATTAAGCTAATTATTTTCTGACAAGAGAAGTAACAGTTTCTTATTTTAGATCATTTGAACAACTCTGGCAAGAAAAATCCCTTGGATTGAAGGCCAGAACCCCTTTGGTCCATCTGGCACCCGGACTTCTGAGCATTGTCTTCCCTGCCCCTCTGCTCACATGGCTGCTGTGGGCCTTTGCCCACTTCCCCACCCTGGTCCTTTTGCCCAAGATAGCTTCTCCCCATTTTGCAAGACGAAATGCTCCCTCTTTTGAGGGTCTATCCCACATAACCCCCGGTCAGCAAAGATTTCCCTGGTGTCCAGACTAAAAGTAATTTTCTTTTCTTAGAAATTCCATGGTGCTTTATTTATGGCTCTTCGGAGTTTTCACAGGGCAGTTTGCTTATTTAATTGTGGGCTTTATCTTTCCTATTAGACGGTGAGTTCCTGGGGACTGAGGTTCTGTCTAGTCCATCTTTGTCTGCTAACCCTCTGTGCCTCTTCAGCTTCATCCCTGTCACTCCCTGAGGACCCTGTGCATCTCCCTAGCAGCTGTAGTGGCTGTGTCCTGTCCCGGTCACAGTAGGCCGTGGGCCCATCCACGGCATCGAGAGCGAAAGCAAGCCAGCCTGACGGATAGCTGTCGGTTTCCAACTTTTACTGTTTCACTCTAGATACCAAAGCTTAGTTTACCTCTCTTGGATGTAACACCTCTGTATCAGTACCTACTTTCTTACTTGAATTAAATAACAGTCTTAAAATAGATTTATAAACCGAATTGTGCATTCTTTCCCCCTGCTGTAGAGAATCTTGTTTTCCTCACTTATCCATCCATGCACTCCAACTTACACATGCCTCTTGTAACAAACCCACTGGACTTCTTTCTAGTAATAAGATTTTTAATCTGCGAGCACCTTGTTCTTTTTTTCCCCCCAACCCACTGTGTAATTGAGTTGTGCTGGTGCCTTTGGCTCATCCTGCCACCTGGGCAGCTTTGATGTTTCCCCTTCGGGCTGTGTTTGCTGCCCTTTCTTGCACTTGCCTTGTCCAAGATGGCTCTGTGTTGGCTTCTCTCTAGGCAACGTTCAGGACCAAATTGATCTGTGCCTTTGACTCTTAGCCATGGCTCTTTGTGACCATGTGGATGAATGGGCAGTGTCACAAGGCTCAGTAACTGGGACAGGCCCCTCTTGCCCAAGCACAGGTTGGCCCTCCTGGCTGCTCAGAACCAGTTGTTGTCTCTCTACAAGAAGCCATTGGTGTCTGTACAGAGTAAAATATGCTGCATGTGCTATGTCTTAGACTTTCTGTGTTCAATTCTTGGTGTGTATATCTTTATTCTTCCTCTTGAGATGGCAAGCATTGTGTTTTTATCTTTGTAGCCAGCTAGTTGCTGCCTATAAAATACATGCTCAGTAAATACATGATGGACAGATTAATGAATTCACATATACACTTGCTCTATGACGTTTAGTTTAAAGGTATCAATATATCTCTAGAGTCTGTCTCTTATGTATTAGATGCTCAGAAAAATACTTCAGTATATTGATTTACTCAGTCCGTGTTTCTCAAGCACCCACTCTGGGCCAAGCCCTGTGCTAGGTGCCATGGAGAATATAAAATGAAGTATGCTTAAAGCTGTCCTTTAGGATGTATGATGTGAGACTGCTGAGGTGAAGCAGGGTAGGACCTGTCAAGTGCCTGAAAAAATTAAAAAAATATATATATTGGAGGATTTGGAAGGGAGGGATCACTTCCTCCTGGCAGCTGGGGGGGGGTGTGTTAATGGAGAAGGTAGCATCTGGGGAAAGCCTGATGGATGGGAAGGCTTTGGAGTGGGGGGGTGTGGGAGGACACTCAGCCAGGTAGAACAGACTGAGCACATGCAGAGAACAGCAAGGACTTCCACTTGGCCAGATACAAAGATGAAAAATGGCGAAGGAGGTTGGACTGTGGAAGGTCCCAAGGGCAGGAGTCGGTTTAGCCTTTATCAGGGACACCACCCCAGATGAATCTGACAGCACTGCAGAGGTGGGGGTGGGTCAGGCAGAGAGTAGGGGCCGGTGGCCAGGAGCCTCAGTCCAGAAAAGGGGCAGAGAGACCCATCCAGGAACATAGTGGCAAGAATGGCAAGTGGGGAGTTCGTGGGTGAGCAGCTGGTCCACAAGGCAGAGCAGAGCAGAGCCCGGCAGGAGGGACCTGCCAGAGGCAGCCGGGCGGGCTTGCGGTGGCAGCGGGCTTGGGCACGTAGTTGCCAGCAGGCGTCCTGGCCGGGGTGGAGGTGTGGAAGGAGACAGGCATGTGGCAGTCTGCCCTCAGATTCCCCCCTGCCACGGTTTACAGTGCAAGCCAGGTGTGTTTGCATTAGAGATGATTCACCAGCACGGCCCTTTGTTTGCCACTGTTCCTTCCAGTCATCCGAAGACCTCGCCTTAAACTCTGCTTCTCGGTGTTTAAAAATCTAACTCTTCAGGCTAATCCTCGCAGGTCCCTGCTGATGACAGTGTGCCTTGGAGGGCTGCCAGGTACGTGACAAACGTTGAGTTGCGGAAGCCTCGGACAAATGTTACCCAAAAAAGGCATTTCTGAAAGGACGGTCATGAATCGGTCATTCATTTGGCAGGATTGGTGGTTTGGTGCAGGCATTGTCACACACCTCTGCAGGTATTTTTCAAGTCAATTTCTTCCTCCCATTTTGAGGTTTCATATGCCGAATGATATATGAAAATCAGATCCCATGTTGCCTGAAAAATTGTGCCTAGAGTTGGTTTTCCTATTCAAGGTAATTCTACTAAAATTAAAAATTTCCTCTGCTCAGTGGTAAGAATAAATGCACATGGTTCCAAAGTTCTTACTTGTCTCTCCTCTTTTATAGGCCCATAATCTAGGTGTGTGTATCCCAAAGTGACACATGTGCCCCAAGGCCCTGGCATTGCCAACTGGCAGTTGCGTTGACTTACGGCATTGGTGTGCTAAGCTGGGGAGAGGAGAAAGTAGATCCTCAGCTGATTGCCGAGGAGGGACTGCATGGGCCTCAGAACACAGGGAGCCAGTACCTAACTATCCCCGACTGAAGTGTGGTGTCTTAGCTTCCCACATTTGAGGCCAGCAGGGACAGCCTTGCTTGCTGTGATTGTGCTCCGAGTGTGTGTCAGGAGGGTTTGGTTCTAGTCAATTTAATCCGTGGTGACAATGTGCTAAGCCTCTGTCCCTGGCCTTCTTGCTTCAGGGAGAACAGAGCAGCTCAAGACCTCCCGCCCCGCTTTTCTCATTTTTCTCCTTTTCCAGCAACACACACACACACACACACACACACACACACACACACCTCACACGCACAACACATGCAACACACACATTCATTTCTTTTCCTCTCTCTGAACATTGACTCCTACACATTAACCAAGAGATGGAGGTCCCCTTCATTCTCTTCTTCATTCTGAGTTCCCCTGTGGGGGGCTTTTCTGGGGAGATTGCAGTCTGTGGGCCCTGAGACTTCAGTGAAGCGTAGCCCAGCACATTGGAGCTGTGAGTGAGAGCAGGAAGTGTGTGTTTGTGAATTCTATTTGGTATCTTTAAAGTGGTTCTGTCAATGATTGTTTTGAAATCTTTCTTCGTCATGATGATCTTTTCACAAACTTCATAGTTTAATAGAAGGCTGTTATTGTTGTGAAGAATAGACAAATACAGACTTTCTGTGAGTTATGTTTTTATTTGCAAAGTATGACCACCATGAGGAGCGTAGAAATGAATAAGGCTGTCCTGCTCGTGCTGGTCAGGTTTTCAGGGGAGGTTAATTATTACCAGGTGTTCTCTAACATCTTGCTGTCCTTACTTCAGATTAAAAAGGACATCGAGGGGTGCCTGGGTGGCTCAGTCGTTAAGCGTCTGCCTTCGGCTCAGGTCATGATCCCAGGGTCCTGGGATTGAGTCCTGCATCGGGCTCCTTGCTCGATGGGAAGCCTGCTTCTCCCTCTCCCACTCCCCCGCTTGTGTTCTGGCTCTTGCTATCTCTCTGTCAAATAAATAAATAAAATCTTTAAAGAAAAAAAAAAAGGACATCGAATAAGAATTTTGTTTGCTTTTTAGATTCAGAATATGAACAACATCATCTCCTTCCCTCTGGACAGTTTGCTGAAAGGAGACCTGAAAGGAGTGAAAGGGGTAAGCCGTCGACCACCCAGCTCACTGGGAGCAGTCACTGGGGGACGTAGAGTCGCGGTCATGCTGGCCTGTCAGGGCACGGCACACACGCCTTCCTCCTGGATGGCGTGATGGCTTCTTGCTGCCTCAGTTTCCCTCGATCTGCTACGTTGGCACTACCTTTCAGTCATACCGATGGTGCCCCAAGGCCTTTCTGGTCACCCTGCTGGTGCTGTAACTGTGGGAAGGGGAGGAGGGTAGGAAGAGAAAGAAGCAGCTCTTTTGGAGCCTGTGAATGGTTTTCACGCTCTGTCAGTTGAGCAGGGAAGCCTGTGCAGGGAAGTGTGGTTTTCTGGCCGGTGTGTCGCTGGCTGACCACTGGCCAAAGGGTCCTTGCTAGGACGTAGTTTCCCGGCAAGAGCATCTGCACCAGTAAGGCTCGAGCGGACTTTCTTTTTCTGTCCTCTGAGGGATGTTCACTGTTCAGGAAGCGCCTTGCTGTGAATTGTTTCATGAACATGTGAGTGAGGAAGTCGGCTTGAGCGGTATCTGTACCAGATGCCGAGCAGTAGCTGCTTTTGCATGTTGTTGGCACAAACAGATGTGTGATCTGAAAGGCAGATGATTGTGCCCCAGTTCTTAGATCAAACTCTCTGATTGGATCTGCACGTGATTCCCAGTCACGTTTGGCTCATCTGGAAGCCCAGGCTGGCCAATCTCCATGACCTCTGCAGAGACCTCTCAGTATTTCTTCCCAGAGCATGCCAGGAGGGCTGTTGGGGCAGGGAGCACTGGGCCTGGCCAGCCGTTAGGACACTGAGGAACATTCCTTGTCGTCCCGGACTGGCGTCCTAGAGAACACGTCAGCCAACTCAGTTTAGCCAGCAGAACGGGAGGGCAGGGCACATGAGGCAGAGGGACGCACATGCAGGTAGAGAGAAGTGTGACAGGGTGCTGCTCTTGAGGCCTTTTGTATGGTTTGATGCCCTGAGTCCGGGGAGGTGCAGGAGTGGGAGATGAGGCTTCCAGGGTGGGAAAGATTAGTTCATGGAAGGCCTTAGATGCCGGGCTAGGAGCTTCGGCCTTGTCATAAGGCCAGTGAAAAGCCAAAAATACAAAATAAGCACCCCCCAAAGGAGGTTCTTTCTTAGAAAAGAACCCTGTTAAAGGGAACGTGAATGGGGGGAACCACTGGATAGAATTTTCCAGTGGCTCAGTATGCTTTTGAGCCAGGCTTTATTAGAGCGTACGAGGTCCTAAGTTCCAGATAGAAGAGTGGAATCAGGAGACCTCAGTAGAAGGTGTAGCTGGGCAGTGTGTGCGTGCTGGGATTTTCCACTTGCTCTGTGTGCGTGTGGCATGGCTGCTGGTCGCATTCAAAGCCTGAGCTCTAAGTTCTTTATTTTTCATGGAATAGTATACATCATTTATTACAGAAATTAATGCTCCTTTCAGGACTAGTCTAGGAATAAGTAAGTTGTCTTGCCCAGAAGTTAATATTAGTTCTGTTTAATTTATGCCTCTCTGTTTACAGGATCTGAAAAAGCCTTTTGATAAAGCTTGGAAGGACTATGAAACAAAAATGTGAGTGTTTCCATTTTTTTAAAATGTAGGTAATTTGAGATCTTAATTTTAAATTGAGCTTTTATTGCTTGAAGGTATTTTCTAAATAAACCTTTAGCCAGGGAAGAATTCACTTAAACCCGTGTTGCTGTGGTTCATTACGATGCCAGATGCTTTCACACTCGGTGTCTAAATTTCAGTGATGCCGTGGACCTCTTCAAACGAGTTTTTCCTGGTCCCTTTTCTGTGATGTCATAATGGTTACAGAATGTTATTTTCAAGAAAGCTCATTGAAGGACATTAAGGCCAGGTTTTGTTGACAGGTGTTTCTTTCCCTTTAAAAAAAAAAAACAAAAACGCTTTCCCCACTTTGTCACCGTTTACGACGGCAACACAGTTTTCGGACTTCATCTTCCTGGTGATTTGCAAGAGCCGTCTGCTTGTAGCTCTGTGTCTGAATTTCCCTAAAACACCAGTCCTTTGGTGTAGAAAGAGAGAGAAAAGAGGCATCCCACACTAGCCTTATCTGATCGCTTCATCTGCCAAAGGAACACGAAGAAAGGGTCAGTTGGTTCTTGGACGTGCATCACGGTTTCCACTGAAGATGGTACTGCTCCTGGTCCACGTCAGTCATCGGCATGTTTCAGATCACAGTCTCTCCTTCCCAGCATGGGAGGGTTCAGCTCGCTGGGATTGGGTTGGTGATTGTGGGGATAGTGGTTTCAATTACTGTAAGTACTTGAGAGACAGAAAATATTTTTAAATGTCTCATGTTTGCTTTGTAATTACTGTGCATTGGATAACAATGTAGAGTTTTCTGAGTGGAAATAGAAACTTTAACATGAAGCCATCTGGTAAAGTGAGAGGTGTTAAGAAGAAAGCTGTTCCAGATGTAGCTCTAAGTATTTAATTGGACTTGGGATGTGTGTGTGTGTGTATGTGTGTGTGTTTTGTTTTTAAAACCAGCTTTGGGGAACGCCTGGGTGGCTCAGTCAGTTAATGGCTCAGATCATGATCCTGGGGTCCTGGGATCAAATTCTGCATCCAGCTCCTTGCTCAGCAGGGAGCCTGCTTCTCCCACTGCCTGCTGCTCCCCCAGCTTGTGCACCTGTGCACTCTCTGACAAATAAATCTTTAAAAAAATAAAATAAAATAAAACCAGCTTGGGTGAAGGATCACAAACTCAGGAATACCAAACCTTTAATATTTGTCCCCTCCTGGACATCTTAAATTTCCATACCCAAATTTCCATACTCAGAGTTGCCTGGATCCCCAAAATCCGGATTTCACTGATGGTATACATTCACATATAAGCAGAGATAGTGTTAGAGTGCCTTGAAGGTCTGTCCAGCCAGAGAAGCTGCTGGCCCTTAGTGTCCTTCCTCTGCACACCCATGCAGTGCACTTGACAGGGAAAGGATCTTTGTAGACAGGAAGCCAAGACTCGGTGCTTTGCTGCTGGTCAGCTGGCAGAGGGTCATTGAGCCAGAGCCAGGAGGTGGCTTTCCATCCAGCTACTTTTACTTCCACCCTCGGGTGCCTCCAAGGAGACGCTTCTGTGTATTACCGAACCGGGGGCACAAAGGGGGTTTTGAAGAGGGTTGCTGGAGAGAGTCTTCTGGTTCCGAAAGGAGAATGAGATCAAATTCGGTAAAATCAGGATATACGTAGAGTGGAGACAGAATTACTCACAAAATCCCAGAATTTGAGAGTGTGAAAGCTTCAAATAATTCTCAGGTAAGTTTTAAAAGTAACTCTTTCACCATTTATGCTTGAGATTTGTTCTGCAACAATGAGCACTGTCCCAGTCAAGGCAGAGCCCTGGCAAGACCTCACTCAGCCAGGAGGCAGGTGGCAAGGGACAGGGAGAAAGTGGAGGAGGGAGGGAGTCTCCCGCCATGCAGCCCCCTTTTGTGCTGCTCAGTGGACACACGGACAGACGGACAAAGTGCTGCCCTGAAGGAAACCTCTGAGGCGTGAGCAGACTTTCTGCCTCTTCTGACCCAGATCTGGCACGAAGTAGGTGCTTAGGAAAGGATTTCTTGAACCAGTACTCAACAAAAAGGGTCAAATTTGACATTCTTATGACCAAATGCATTTTCCTTTCCAATAAGTTAAGAGGTTGTCTTGTATGAAACTGGAGCATTTCCTTACACCACACACAAAAACAGACTCAAAGTGGTTGAAAGACCTAAATGTGAGACACAGGAGTCCATCAAAATCCTAAAGGAGAACACAGGCAGCAACCACCTCAGCCGCAACAACTTCTTCCTAGAAACATCACCAAAGGCAAGGGAAGCCAGGGCAAAAATGAACTATTGGGATTTCATCAAGATCAAAAGCTTTTGCACAGCAAAGGAAACAGTCAACAAAACCAAAAGACAACTGAGAATGGGAGAAGATATTTGCAAATGACATATCAGATAAAGGGCTAGTATCCAAGATCTGTAAAGAACTTATCAAACTCAACACCCAAAGAACAAATAATCCAATCAAGAAATGGGCAGAAGACATGAACAGACATTTTTCCAAAGAAGACATCCAAATGGCCAACAGACACATGAAAAAGTGCTCAACATCGCTCGGCGTCCGGGAAATCCAAAGCAAAACCTCAATGAGATACCACCTCACACCAGTCAGAATGGCTAAAATGAACAAGTCAGGAAACGACAGATGTTGGCGGGGATGTGGAGAAAGGGGAACCCTCCTACACTGTTGGTGGGCATGCAAGCTGGTACAGCCACTCTGGAAAACAGTATGGAGGTTCCTCAAACAGTTGAAAATAGAACTACCCTACAACCCAGCAATTGCACTACTGGGTATTTACCCCAAAGATACAAATGTAGGGATCCGAAGGGGTATGTGCACCCCAATGTTTATACCAGCAGTGTCCACAATAGCCAAACTATGGAAAGAGCCAAGATGTTCATCAACAGATGAATGGATATAGAGAAGATGTGGTATATATACACAATAGAATATTACACAGCCATCAAAAAGACCCCACGAAATCTTGCCATTTGCAACGACGTGGATGGAACTAGAGGGTATTATGCTAAGCAAAATAAGTCAGAGAAAGACAAGTACCATATGATCTCAGTGATACGAGGAATTCTTAATCTCAGGAAACAAGCTGAGGGTTGCTGGAGTGGTGGGGGGTGGGAAGGATGGGTGGCTGGGTGATGGACAGTGGGGAGGGTATGTGCTATGGTGAGTGCTGTGAATTGTGTAAGACTGATGAATCACTGACCTGTACCTCTGAAACAAATGATACATTATATGTTTAAAAAAGAAAAGATAGTAGGAAGGGGAAAAATGAAGAGGGGTGGAATTGGAGGGGGAGACGAACCATGAGAGACTATGGACTCTGAGAAACAAATTGAGGGTTCTAGAGGGGAGGGGGGTGGGGGGATGGGTTAGCCCGGTGATGGGTATTAAGGAGGGCACGTATTGCATGGAGCACTGGGTGTTATACGCAGACAATGAATCATGGAACACTACATCAAAAACGAATGATGTATGGTGATTAACATAATAAAATAAAATTAATAAAAATAAATAAATAAGAGGCTGTCTTGTTTGCAAAAGACTCATGCACGGTTGTGTTGCAGGCTGGGTAACGGGATCCCTGCAAGCCTGTCTTGTCTGGAGTGCCGTGCCGAGGCATCTCAAATTATCCTTGCTTTTTTCACCTGTAGAACCAAAATTGAAAAAGAGAAGAAGGAGCATGCCAAACTGCATGGGATGATTCGCACCGAAATCAGCGGGGCTGAAATTGCCGAAGAGATGGAGAAGGAGCGGCGGCTTTTCCAGCTACAGATGTGCGAGGTGAGCCCTGGGGGTGTGGGCTGCCGCTACAGGTGCACAAGGTGAGCCCCGGGGGTGCAGGCTGCAGCTACAGGTGTGTAGTGTGAGCCCCGGGCGTGCGGGCTGCCGCTACAGGTGTACGAGGTGAGCCCCGGGGGTGCGGGCTGCAGCTACGGGTGTGATAGGTGAGCCCTGGGGGTGCAGGCTGCAGCTACGGGTGTGCTAGGTGAGCCCTGGGGGTGCGGGCTGCAGCTACAGGTGTGTGAGGTGAGCCCTGGGGGTGCGGGCTGCAGCTACAGATGTGCAGGGTGAGCCCCGGGGGTGTGGGCTGCAGCTGCAGGTGTGCGAGGTGAGCCCTGGGGGTGCGGGCTGCAGCTACAGGTGTATGAGGTGAGCCCTGGGGGTGCGGGCTGCAGCTACAGGTGTGCAGGGTGGGCCCTGGGGGTGCGGGCTGCAGCTACAGATGTGCAGGGTGAGAGCCGGGGGTGCCAGGGTTGGGGGGGTGAAGTGCAGTTTCCAGGGGGTAGTGGGTTCCAGGTGGTGGGCTACAGGCAGCCTGCTTTCACCGGCATGTGAACTCTCTGGAGAGTGCATGCTTCCCAGAGGCTTCAGACAACACAGCAGTGCATTAGTGGACTCCATTTGTCCAGTTTCTCTTACTAGAGGAGCCTGAGTTTCTTAGAGGGTGGAATGAGCTGAATCTAACCCCAACCATTAATTAAAGGTAGGGAAGAATCTAAAGAAACATCTCTGGCCTCATACACATACCCAGACTCACCTCTCACGGGTACATTGCTAAAATACTCTCTCCATTAGTGTTTTTTAAGGCGGTATCTGGGTTCCCATTATAGCAGTGGAAGCCATGAGGAGGGCCAGGGAGAAGTCAGCTGGAAAAACCTGCAGCTGGTCCCCTGTGGGTCTCTGAGTGAGGGAGGGAGGGAGGGAGAGCAAGCGCACTACATACTGTGGAAGCCAAGCCACCTGCCTCTGAAGTGCTTGTACTGAATTCACTCATCAAGGCAGGAGGCCCTGGGGAGCTCCTCAGTTCCACTCTGTTCTGCAGCCTGAGCCCTTGCCTTTGGGGATGGGGAGGGAAATGGCAGCACTGATGCTCTGGGACATGTCCCTGATGGAGGCTGAGGGGTGCAAAATACCAGAAACGAGTCATGAAGGCCTTTGCTTCCAGCCTTGTTATGCCTTGCTTGTGGGTCTTTGTAAAAAAGGCCTCTGGACACGATGCCAAGCTCTGCCTGAGGGTTCGCCCTCCTTGCAGTGGCCGTGAAGCCCCTTGAGCTTGACGGTGCATGTGCCAAGCCTGTGCAGACTTCAGCTTTCGATGTGCAGAGTGCGCGGGGATGATTGTGACAGCTACTGAAACTGGCTCAGCCTGCTCTCTGTTCCCTGGGAGCAGTCAACAGCAAAGCTGAAGCCACACGGCACTTTTTGACTTCAGAATGTTTGTTAATTGCAGCGGGAGTTTAGCTTGTAGAAATGTCTGTTTTAGAAGTATATTTAAATGAGTTTTTATTCCCAGAGCCATCTCTTAAGTGGTCAGTGGAGCAGAACCAGTCCCAGGATCAAGGATAGGATATTAGCCTGACATTAGTACAGCCACTCCAGCTCTCTTTGTTCCTGTTTGCATGGAATTTCTTTTTCAACCTGTGTGTATCTGTGAATCTAAAGTGTGTTTCCTGTAGACAGTGTTTTTTAAATCTCGTCTGACAATCTCTGCCTTTTGATGGGATTGTTTAATCCATTCATATTTGATGTTGCTATTGATGTGGTTGGATTTATGTCTGCTGTCTTTTTTTTTTATGTCTCATGTCTTCTTTGTTCCTTTGTTCTTCCTTTGCTATTTTTTTTCATTAAGTGAATATTTAGAAAGTTAACTAAGCTCCAAGTCTTACTGTAGAAAGAGGAGTGGATTTTTTAGATACATGTTGTTTTGTAAACAGACCTCATATGTAACAATGCCTGTCTGGCCAATTTCACACAGTGTCCCAGGAATCAGCCCAGAGGGTGTGAGATGGCATAGGAAATTGCTGTTTGTTACGCAGATACTAGGTATTGTTTCTGTTTAATTGGGGTAAATTAAGTAGGGGTATTTTACAAAGAATGGGTTTGGAACAGGTGTGCGTGTGTATGTTGTGTTCAGGTCATGCTCTCTTTTTTTGGCTAGTAAGGAGGAAACACGTTTGCTTAAACTCTGCAAAAGACTGCTTTTTTAAAAACATTTAGTGAATTGGGAAAATTAGTATATCTTGAAGTGAGGGGCGCTGCACTGCTTTCTGTGCTACGCACCCAACACCAGTTACCTTTCCCCTCCGGGTCTAGGTGAATGCATCCTGTGCACTGGTGAAATAGTTTATTATATTGCAAATGTACTATCTAGATGATGGTTCTCAGCACACCTACTAGGCCAGCCCGCCGGAGAGGTTTGGGGCCTCATGTGTGCTGACCCTAGCAGATCCAGCAGTTAGCGTGATGTGTGCAGAAGCAGAGGTGGAGTCTCCAGAGGAGGACACATCCGATGAAGGATGTACATGTGGGCCAAACAGAAGTGGGCTGGAAAGGGCTGTCCGTGGGGGAAGGAGGAACGTTTGAAAAGCAGTCCCCCCAGAATCTGACATCTCAAAGTTGAATAGATTGCTGTAGTTAATCGTGGTAAAATTGTTCAGCCAGTTCCTCACACTGAAGGTCTCAAGTTTCATAAATGCTTGCCGTTGTTTAGGTGTTTAAAATTTTAGTTGCCCGAGATCTAATCTAGAAGAATGGCTTTCAGGTGTTTATTTTAAATTGTGGAACTTTTTCTTCAAAACGAATTTTGTAGAGAAATTCAGTGTGCTGTAATAAATAGGTAATATAGAGCATCTGTGTGTGGAGAATGTATGAGAGATCCTGTTGTTTTTCTGTGATTATAAAAATATACTCTTTTAAAAATTAGTCTCTATATATGAAATTAAAAATCACCCCAAATTTTACTCACCAGAAGATAAGTAGTTTAACATCTTTCATATATCCCTCTGTGTACCTTCATAAAAATAATTTGTATAAACAGGATCGTTCTCTACTGGTGCTTTGTAACCTGATTGTTTTGACTCACTTGTATGTCATGGGCATCCTTTGGTGCCGGAAAGCCTCTGCTTTATTGGCTTCATGGCTACATAGCATGGCTGAACCATACTTTAATTTTCCATTCATTACATTTGGGTTGCCATTTGTTACTTTTACAAACAAGTCTGCACTGAACCTTGTTTTCTGTTCATCTTTGTAAACTTTTATGATGATCTTCTTAGAGAGTAAGTTCCTATAAGTAGAAGTTCTATGTCAAAAGGTCCACACGTTTTAAGTTTGGACTTAAGTCACAGCGAAGCATCTTATTAACCACTTAGCCATTTTGACACATTGCCAGGCATCTTACTCAGTTAACAGTGAATAAATATCAGACCGAAGGAAGGAGAACACATAAAGGAAGGAGAACACATAAAGTCGCTTGGTGTAGGGAAAGGAGATTTTGTAGTTAATTTTGTAGCAGCTTCCTCTCTCCAGCTGGACTTCTGGCTTGAATGTGGGCTTCCCAGGTTATGGCTGAGAAGCCTGTGTGGTCAGCAGGGGTGGCCGCTCTTTTGGGGGCATCCAGTCTCAGATGACACGTTCTCAGAGTTCTTTATGCCATGTCCTGACAGTGGAGAGAACAGGGAATTTATGGAGTCTTTGTTCTGTAAACCTTTAGCAAAGAACAAATGTATTTCCTGAGGCTGGTTTTGTAGATTCCTGAACTTCCTGATATTTTAGTCGTCATTCCTGAATTCTCCAAGTTAAAAATGGCTTTCGTTCATTTCAACTTAAAATTTGGTTTTTATAACAATCACATTTTTTTTCAGTGCCAGGATTAGAGATGTGGTGATAAGCGTCTGAGCTACAAAACACTGGCAGTTAGTGTTGCAGAGGATGACCTGCCCAGAAAAGGGATGGAGGGGGAGGGGGCAGAAGGATGCGGACAGAAAGAGCCCATTCACTTTAAGCATCTGTCTTCTTTGTGCAGCTTGAAGAAAATTTCCTCTAGCAGGTTAAGATCCAGTATCTTATTACTACTAGGGGTTTTTGGCGCCTAAAGTTAAATATTTAATTACTTGGACGTTGGATAATTCATTTGGCACCAAACAGAGAAATGTTCAGTTCTGGCGTTTCAGAAAATGCTCAGCACTTGCCATGACCCCTACCCTTAGCAAAAGATGTCGAAGAAGTAGAGAAAATGATCTGCGCTCAGAAGCTCTTGTTCTGGGTCTGACATACCCTTTTGTGTTTTTTTAACAGTATCTGCTGAAGGTCAATGAAATTAAGATTAAAAAGGGAGTGGATTTACTTCAGAATCTGATCAAATATTTTCATGCCCAGTGCAAGTAAGTTCTTTTTCTTTGTTGTGGTGTTATTTCAGCTGTTTTTATGGCAACTTCTGGTAGATAATATAGTATTATATCGAGGAAAATAAACACTCCTTTAAAACTCTGTCGTAAAAGGCATGAAGTACTAACACACATTGTAACACGGTGAACCTTGAAAAAATATGTTAAGTGGAAGAAGCCAGACACAAAAGGCCACATTCTGTAGGATTTTATTTACTTGGAAGATCAGGAATAAGCAAATCTACAGATGAGTGATTGCCGGGACTTAGGAGGAGTGGGGAATTACTGCTGATTGGGGTAGTGAAAATATTCTGGAATGAGACGGTGCTGATGATTGCACGATTTTGTGAATATACTAAAACCACTGAATTGTACACTTTAAAAGGGCAAATTTTGTGGTTAAAGAATCTTTCTCAATAAACAATATAAAAATCTGTAGTAATTATCAGATGTATTTATTTTTACCCTTTTTTCAGAAGGACAGACTGGTTTGATCTAACACATGATTCACAGATGGTTTTTGTTTGCAAGAAATTAGATGGGGTTAAGGCAGTATATTAAATTTCATATATGTATATTTTTAAAGATTTTATTTATTTGAGAGAGAGAGAGCATAAGCAGGAGCAAGGGCAGAGGGAGAGGGAGAAGCAGACTCCTGGCTGAGCAGGGAGCCTGATGCGGAGCTTGATCCCAGGACCTCAAGATCATGACCTGAGCCGAAGGTTGACGCCCAACTGACTGAGCCACCCAGGCATCCCGATATATTATTTATCCTATAAAGCAAGTGACAGTGCTGAGCTAAGGAGGCTGAATATGGTAGAGAAGGAGAAGCTTCCGTGTTTGGGGCTGCCTCACATACTCAGCTTGGCCAGCATGTGAGCCCTGCACAGCCTGACCCTCATCATGCCTCGCTCATTTGCTCGCGCCCCCTCCCACTTCTGCCTGACCCTCAGCCCTAACACAAACCAGCCCCTGGCTCATCCCTCGCTTGCTGAGTGGGTGCCCTGTGTCCGGCACTGTCCTGGATGCTGGAGATAAAGGAATGTCCATCACAGACATAGTTCCTGCTCGAATCAGCTAGGCAAGTGGGCTGAAGCAATGGGTTTATGATTGCACATTTGCAACGTGTTCGGAAGTGATGGAATCTAACAAAGAATAGAAGGACCTGATTTAGATTAAGATTGAGGGCAGACACAGGATTTTTCTTCCTTTTTTTTTTTCCTGTTTCTTGTTGTATTCTACAGCCACCAGACACAGTACCTAGTCCATAGTAGATATTCAAATACTTTCTGAACTAGCTGCAGGCCTCTTTGAGGAGACATGTATTCTGAGATCTAAAGGATCTAGCAGAGAAGAAATAGGGAAAAAACATTCCAGGCAAAGTCAAGATCTCAAGAGGCAGGAAAAAGCCCAGTGTGACATAAGCATAATGAGTGAGGGGGAGGGTAGTGTGACATGAAACCGGATGGAAAAATGAGAGACGTGGATGGCCTTAGGAGCCTTGAAGGGTTTTAGATTTTATTCTAAGTGTATCAGGGAGCTCTCAAAAGTTTTAAGCAGGGGATTCATTCAGCAAGGCACTATTTGAGGTTTTGGTGATAACTTCTTACTCATGAACCTTCAGTTCTGATGGGGTGGATAAATAGTAAACACAGAAGAAAATATGTAGCAGTTTTAGGGAGCAGGCGTGGCTATGAACAGGTGAAACAGTGTGATGGAGAGAGAACAGAGTCGATGGGAAACACCTGGGAAGACTTCTTGGTTCCATTCCTGTTTTAATAAGGGACAAACAAGAGTGGGTATGGGTGATCACTTAGGTACACAGTCCTGTTCCGGCACCATCCAGGGCCAATGAGTTCTTGGCCTAGACTGGTGACAAAGCCAGCGGATGGTGTGACTGAGGTGAGAAATCCTTGGAGGTTGAATTGCCCCACCTGTCTGTCGCTTTTCCCCAAACAGGCCGTGCCGCATGCTGATGTGCCTCTGCACACACTGCTCTCTTTGCTAGAATGTCCCGACGCTCCCTTTGTGCCTTCCTCTAGCTTTCTGGTCATCCCTGAGACCTACCTACTGCTCCTTTGAACTCGCCTGGTCTTCCCCTGCTGGAATTACTTCTCTTCCTTTTGCATTATCACTATACCAGCTGTTTATCTTCAGAATGGCATCTTTCATACTGTGTCATGTCTCTCACCAAACTGTGTCTCCTTTAAGGAAAGGGGCCATGATATTATTTGTTTAATCTGCAGTGCATGGTGCATGTACCTGGCACATAGTTGCAGAGGTGAGTTGCACTGTTGAACTTGGCTCAGCTTTGGAATTTTAATACAGCGCTGGTGACCATGCATCTGTGAAGCCACTGAGGTCCAGCAGCAAAAGAAGCTGTGCTGTGTGGTTCATCCTAGGTTAAAAGAAGAGCTCCAAGCTTGGAAAAAGAGTCTCAGAGGATGGAAAAAGACCCCTAATTTGTAGCATTTTCAAGATGAACTATTTTATAGAGACTCAAAATGCTAATTTTGTGATTAACACGCAAATTACTTCTTCAGTAGTTATCCTTGTAACCTTATGTGAGGCAGATTAGGAGTGGGTCGCTTCCTTGCTAATATTTTATTTTTAAGAAGCTATTCTGGGACTTCCTTTTTTTTCTTTATTTTGCCCAAACTGATCCGTTGGGTAGCAACAGACCACTTGTGGAAAAGTGAACTAGTTGGCCTTTTATGGGCATGAGCTCAGTAACCTTTAAAAACGATGAATCTTCCATTACTTCCTGTGTGTGTGTGTGTGTGTGTGTGTGTGTGCGCGCGCGCGCGCACGTGCACGCTGCATGCTCTTCAAATCACTTGCACAGCTTTGACTTTTCTAATTCATATTCTGAGGGATAAACTGCAGAGCTAGAGTGACTCATCTGTTGGACAAAGGACCATGTGGCTGTACATTGTTGGTTCTGGTAGCTCCTTCATGTTCCTCAGTTAGCATTCCCAGTCTCCCATCCTCACCCCAGACAAGCGCTGGGCTCTGAGGGGCAGGGGCAGCCTGCTCGGCCAGCGCCTGTTCTCACACGGTGCTATTCTGTGCAGGTATGAAGAGGCCTCTGGGTGTAGACTAGACTCTGGGAGCCATGTTTGGGTGTTCACCCTTAAAACTGCCTAGATATGTATTATTTTGCTTTTTATTCATTTTTGCTTTTCACTTTCAGTGTTCTTTGTTTTTTATTTCATTTAAAGAAAGAAGTTGCATCTCTGCCTAGTTCCTGGAATATCCTGAAAATGTGTCTTATTAGCCTTTGTTGCTGAAGGTTGAGTTTCTTATTCTCTAATGGAATCTAGAAATAGGGCAGTCTCTAAAACAATAATAAAACAAAAACAGCTATGTTCTAAATAGTGGTGATGAATGTTGAATTGACTTGTTCTTTGAGCAGTTATCTGCTGAGAACCACGATGACCAACTGTTGCCTGATGTACTTGGGATACGGTGTTGAATGAGACACAGGGCCAGGGGCGTGCAGAGGGCAGGCAGGGCTCAGGCCATGAGAATGGGGTGCTCTTATAAAGCCTATAGCTGGAGGGAGAGGCCACCCTGCTTGGTGGGAGCTTGAAGATTGAATCTCAGTGGGTGCATTTTAAGGCTTGGGAGTTTGGTCAGGCTGGGTAGAAAACATTTAATAAAAAACAAAACTGATGTTTAGTAATATTGATGGTAAACACTGTTTGAAGCTTGGGAAAGTGTTACTGGTTCAACCTAAGAAAAATGTGCAGGGTTTGTACTTAGAAATGTTACGGTGGGGGCAACTGGGGGCGACTGGGTCGCTTAGTCGGTTAAGCGTCTGCCTTGGGCTCAGGTCATGATCTCAGGGTCCTGGGATTGAGCCCCACATTGGGCTTCCTGCTCGGCAGGGAGTCGGCTTCTCCCTGTCTCTCTGCCCTTCCCCCTCCCCGCTCATTCTGCCTCTCTAATAAATAAAATCTTTTTAAAAAAGGGAAAAAAAAATGTCACAGTGATGGGGCACCTTACTGGCTCAGTTGGTAGAGCATGTGACTCTCAATCTCGGGGTTGTGAGTTTGAGCCCCACGTTGGGTATAGAGATTACTTAAAAATAAAATCTTAAAAAAAAAGGGAAAGAAATGTCACGGTGGTGACAGCCAGCAAAGCAGGGACAGAGCCCCTTTCTTTGAAACTTCCCCTGAGGCCAGGGAGGGTATACCTAGGTGCCAAAACATGCCTCAAAAAGGAGGGTACATGGGGCGCCTGGATGGCTCAGTTACTTAAGCATCTAACTCTTGATTTTGGCTCAGGTCAAAGGGTCATGAGATCAAGCCCCACGCCCAACTCTGTGCTGAGTGTGGAGTCTGCTGAAGATTCTCTCTCTCCCTCTCCCCCTTCCCACCTCTACAAACAAAAGAAAGCAAAAAGGAGGGTACAGGAAGATGGGCAGTTTGACAATCAGAGGGGGAGGTTTTCTAGGTAGATGGTTAAGACCGGCTATGTGATCACAAAGATAAAAACCAAATCTCAAACCCAAATTGGTATCGTTATTCCGAGTGCCCTGCCCAGCGTCACGCTGACGGTGGTGACTGCGACAAGAAACGCCTCTCCAAGTACTTGCTCCGCGGCAGGGCTCTTGGCACAAAGCAGAGATTCCTGGAGCCGTGCGCCGGCTCCCCGTGCGGGACCAGTCTCCTGCAGTGCTCTTCTGACTCCTCACCCTGGTGTTCTGTCCCCCTCTCTTGGTCCCTCTTCTTTCTCTCTTTCCTACCTATTTCATGAGAATTTGAAGGGATTAAGGAAATAGTTCTGTAAAGAAATAATGTAACTGAAGCAAATCGTGAGAACCAGATGAGTTCAGGACGGGAGGGGAGAAGCTCGGTTTCTCAGGCCTGTGTGTGTACCTCCATATCTCCTGTGCGGTTGAAAAGCACCTGCTGTGTGCTGCCCATCGTGCCAGGAGCGGAGGGCCCAGAGGTGCATAAGACAAGGCCTTCCTGCCCCGACAGTGGACACAGCCCTGGAGAGGTCACTGTTGCCCTATCAGGAGTTATTCCATGTTCAGAAAAAAAGCGTTAGGTAAAATGTAGGGATGAAAATATAAAATAAAGAATTATGCATATATCTAAACATTAAGGTTAGACCATTCTCAGCGCAGCTTCTGTGATTCCTAATGCCTGGCTAGTAATGGTTCAGAACCCACATCCCGTGTGTATATTTCCCTCTTCCTTCCTCCTCGGAATTACTGTATTCAGTGTCATGCTTCATTTCTCTCACAGCCCCTTCTGTTCCTTATATACTTCGCGTGGGAAGGTCCCACAGGACCCTGGCTGAGTTGATTAACATCACCTCACATGAACACATGGGAAACCCAGATCACATTTTGAAGATCATCTCCTTCCAGTTACCTGGCTGAAGTTGGAGACTCCTTCCTTCCTTCATTAATTTATGTTTTCATTCAACAAATAGTGTGTGCTTGAAATGTGCCTGGCTTTGTGGATACCATGTCCTTACCCTCTTAGAACTTTGGATCTAAGGGAGGGTGGGTATATTTTAAATAATCACACTAACGACTACATAATGGTAGTTGTGCTAAGGGTTTTGAAGCAAGAGACAGTGCTCTGAGAGAATATAGCAAGGAGACTTCTTTTAAAGTAAGGGGTCATGGAAGCCTCACTAACAAAGTGAAAGTTAACTTAAAATTTGAAGAGTGGGTGGGAATAATCCAGGCAAAACAGAAGATATCTGCAGGGAGAACTCTTTAGAAAACAGAAATAGCATATGCAAAGGGCCTGAGGCAGGAAGGATCTGATGGCCATTGACCAAAGGCTGCTAGCTCTGTAATCTAGTGAATGAAAGGGGCGAATGATGCTACCTGAAGCTTGGAGACCTAGGCAGAGGCCAAATCACACAGGTGTAACAGACCTTGTTACGTTTTGAACTCTGCCCTGAGCTTACAGGGAAGCGTTTTCTTCATTCCTCTCAAAAGGGTTCTACAGCATGCTTCAGGGGCAGTGCTGAGCATCAACCCGCTGTTGCTGCAGAGAAATCTGTCTAACTCCTCTTATATTTCCTGCATCACTTATTATAAACAACTTCACAAGCATTGAGTTCTGGGCTTTGAAAGAAAAAATTTCCTTTTGATATTTGATCTCAAGTTCTCCAACCACATTTCCTTACTCTGCAGATGGAGCATGGCCATTCACCTGCATCAAACTCGCTTTGTTTTTTTCTGCCTTCTCTTTTCCACTTAGCTGTTGACTGTCTGGGAAGATTTTTTTAGTGTATTGTTCTTACTTGCACCCCATGCTTTTCTGCGCTCAGACTTTTCCATTCCTGAACGAGAGCCTTCACTGCCTTTTGTCAGTAGGGGCCTGCTTCCCATTATACACTGAAAATTTAGGGCTCCTATCATATGGGTCAAGAGCAGTTATAAACACTTAGGCTTATTGCAGTTCCTTTTCTGTCACTTCTTGCGGTTTTCAGTGTCATTTTATTCTTTGTTTGCCTGATATTTTAAAGTTTGGTTCACACAGTGTTTTCCCCCAGGAATTGCGTCATGATTTCACTCACTTTCCTTTAAAGAGGTATTTTCTCCATGTAATAGAACTGTTTCCTCTTTTATGAAATCCTATCTGTGTCTCTTCTTTCTTCCTCTTAGTTTCTTCCAGGATGGACTGAAAGCAGTTGAGAGCCTCAAGCCTTCCATTGAGACACTTTCAACAGACCTTCACACAGTAAGTGGCTAGTGGCTTCCCTCCCACACGAGTGTCAAAACAGTTTTTATGAAACAAATGCTTTGATTTAAGCATGGCTTCTGTATGATCCCGTGTTTGCTGCACCACCCAGAAGCTGACAGCCTGGTGGGGCCCCGTGGAGGATGGAGCCCCGTGGCCATCCTCTGTCGTGGCTGGAGGCGGGACCTGGTAGGGGAGGCATTTGTTGAGGCGATGCCCTACGAACTCCCAGAACCTCGCTATACCTCAGCCCTGCTTCTCTCTTCTTTGTTTTGTTTTTTAAAGATCAAACAGGCCCAGGATGAAGAAAGAAGGCAACTGATACAGCTTCGAGATATTTTGAAATCAGCATTGCAGGTTGAACAGAAAGAGGTGAGGGGATTTAATTTTGAAAGATTGCGCTTGTATACCTGTGTCTCAGAGGCTTTGGGACAGAAGAATTCTACATTCAGGTCCTCCAGGAGCTCACAGTTCACCCTGGGGCTGTATCAGGCCAGCACCAAGCATTTGGTTTGCTCCTTAAGTTTGGTTTTATGAAACCATCTTTTTAAGATCTGTTTATTTCATGGGGGGAGGCATTTACTGGAGACCTGGCCTTCATGGTAGCATATAAACCCTTTTAGTGCTCTCTGGTCGTAAATGAGTAGCTCTCAAAATCTCTGTTACATAGATAATCGGTATTTATGCCGTTGATTTTCTACCTGGAACTTTGTGGTTTCTGTGGCCCCGTACCAGGTGGCCACCTGTGTCCTCCAGCCCTGAGATCATGCTCTGTAAAACATGGGGAACTAGAGTCTCCTCCAGCTGCATTTCTATGAGCAGGAGACCTTAGTTTCTCTGGCATCATGTCTTTCTGATAATCCCTTTTCTGCATGCTGACACATCCACAGTGACAATTTGTTTTGGAGGCTTTTAAAAAAATATTAAAAAGTAAATTTTTAAGATAATTCTATGATCTGTTTACTACAGGGTAGGTATTATAATGTGAAATTGAACATAACCCCCTTCCTTGTACATAAAGGAATGTATTTAAATGTATAATTAATAGATTTTAGATAAATAACTATTAAACTACTTAGCAGAGCATGAAGTTCACTGTTGGCAGTTTGGTATGCTCAGTTTTGAGTTCCTGTACTATAACCGAATATTGTTGTTTCTCTCCCAAATGCCTTTACCTTTGTGACCGAAGTCTAGGAGAGTAAGTAGTGATCAGTATTTTAATAAATTGGAGAGTTTTGCATGCTTTCTTCATGAACTTAAATTAGTTTCTTCCGTGCATACATTAATGGCCAGTAGCATTTTTAATTTTAACCCTTTCTCTGGGTTTTATTAAAGGGTAAAGAATTTGGATTCTCAAATATTACTGAATGGAAAATTTCCATGTTTATGGTTTATACATTTGCTGTTGTCCCTTTATGGAAGCAGAGCGACTCACACTCTCCCTCCCCTCCCACTGTCTAGCTGAATTCTTCCTGTCCTTCTCAACCACCTGCAGCCCTGCCTGTGCTCACCTCAGCCCCAGTGATCTGAGTTCCAGTTATTTCAATCAGGACATACTCCTTATGGGTTATTGGCTGTGTCTTCCAAGTGCACAGATGTTTTTTCTCTAGCTAGACCTTGAGCAGCTTGAGGATGCCCTCCTGCCTTCTGTGCCTCACCAGCCATGACATTGTAGGACCATATTGCTCGTTTACTAGGTTTTTGGTAATGTGGGTCTGCTAAGTGAGAGATTGGCAGATTGAGGTCATATGTGAGTGCTTGAAATTACCCACGGGTTGGCGGCTTCCTCCCAGTCTGGAGAATATAGATCCTGATGCTTTGATATTCCCAAACGTGGATGATAAGGAGAAAAATAAGAAGGAGAAAAAGAACTTGGAGTATGGAGAAAACAGTGGCTTAGGTTTAACTAGAAGAGGTGGTGTTAGGTGTAGGAGCCGCAATGCCGTCAAAGCAGCGGGCTTCCCAGCACGGGTCTGGGAGTGGTCGAGAGCCGCTCTTGTCTGAAAAGGAGTATCAAACCCACGAAGCGAAGCTCAGGTTTATAATAAAGGAGAGCAGAGTCTGCAGTTGAGTGGTCCTCTGGGCGCAGTGCAAAGGCCCTGTTTACTTTGGCTGTGCAGAGTTAGGAGGTTTGGGAAAACTGGCTATTGTCAGCCGGTTATTTATAGCTTTGCAGAAAAATATAACAAATCTACCAGCACAGACCAGAAGTCTTCACGGTTTGTTGTGTTTGTGTGTTTTTATTGACCAGCCCAGCTGCCCACAACTGCACAGAGGGATCATAAGAACCTTCTTTACTGCTCCTCTTTGGCTTTCTGCCCAAATATGGAACTCTCCAGTTTCTTGCTCGTGGTTGTGTCATACTAGATGTTGTATTATGCTCTGCATTGCTTTTTGATGATGGTATTCCATAGAGTGGATGGTCTCTGAACACAGTTGCCAGTAAGAAGCAAATGTGCATAAGTGGAATTTTATATATTATTAAATGCTTTTTATGATTGGGGTTCCGTCTCTTCCAGTTACAGCAAGAATTGAACATTGGACACTCTCATTGTTTAGCTCTCATTCCCTTTTTTTTGGATTCTCTCTCTGACTTAGCTGAAGGTGTTGATAGTTTTTATTTAATATTTACAAAAATTCTTACTACCTAATTTCAGTTCATGGGGTGCCTAGGTGGCTTAGTCGGTTAAGCGACTACATAATTTCAGTTCATAAAAATTAGGTAACATGCCCCAAGGAAACTGCATTGATGATTGGTGCGAGCCACTGTCCTATTTCCTTCCTGTAAATCTCAAACGTCAGTCATTTGATCTAAGTGAAGAACGCGGCTCTTGCATATGGAGGCTTTGGGCTGCTTCTCTTTGTTACCCTGTAGCTACATTTTGGGAAGGAGACTGTGCCATTATGATCCCAGTGCCCCCATACCTCACTGGCATTTTGTATTTTTTGATATTTCTGCTGTCTGTAACAAAGATTCTGGTATTTGATTTTTCCACTTTTATTATGAATTTTTTCAGATTTATAGAAGAATTAAAAAACTGTGCAGTGACTACTATATATGCACCATAGTTTTAACATCTGGGAAAGTTCAAGCCCTCCAATACTGCTCATTCTTGCATGAGCCTCCTCCTGCTTCCCCATCCCATGTACGTCCCACCTCAGTGGAGTCCTGTGGGACAGATCCCATTGCAGTGCTGGCAGATTCTCCGCCAAAACCTCATTGTTGGCATGTGGGTTCTCTGCTGTTCGCTGTTGAGAACCCAGACTCATGCCTCTGGTGGGAGGACTCAGCCTCTGGGAGCTGGTGTTGGTAGGCTTGAGTGCTGAAACCACAATGATTTTCCCACTTTGGACATCTCAAGTGTGGTCTCTCTTCATGTCAGCTTTATGGTCCTCCCTTTCCTTTTTCTCCTTCTCTTTTTTTAAGATTTTACTTACTTATTTGAGGGAGGGCAAGCACAAGCAGGGGGAGTGGCAGAGGGAGAAGCAGACTCCCCGCTGAGCAGGGAGCCCGATGCGGGGTTTGATCCCAGGACCCTGGGATCACGACCTGAGCCAAAGGCAGACACTTACCCGACTGAGCCACCCAGGTGCCCCAGTGCTCCCCACTTTCAAGTGTCCCTGTCTGGTAGGAATGTGTTTGAATAGTATGTGCTGTCCAGGGAGCAGAGGTCCGTGACAGCGATAATTCTCTTCCGACTCTGGCTTTTCTGATCTAGGCTTGTGTATCTTATCATGCCGAAATCTGTCCTTAATCACAACCCTCTGGCCAGGTGTTCACTTCCTTGTTTCTCTTCTGCCAAGCTCCCAGTGGCCTGACTGGCCTTCAGTTCGCCCTTCATGAAGACTTGTTCATTGAGTCACACATTCAACTCCCATTTTCTTCTTCTCTTTCTGTTTTTTTTTTTTTTTTAAGATTTTATTTATGAGAGAGAGAGCATGTCAGGAGGGAGAGAGAGAGAGAATCTGAAGCAGACTCCCCACTGAACACGGAGCCTGATGCGGGGCTCCATCTCATGATAGTGAGATCGTGATCTGAGCTGAAATGCTCAACTGATTACACCACCCAGGTGCCCCTCAACCCCCATTTTCTTAGCAGTTACTCTAGACCAGGCACTGCATAAACAGAGTAAGATAGATACAGTTCTCACCTCTTAAAGGGCTCACGGCCTGGGAGTAGGGTCAGAAAATTGGGGTACAGTGTGATGAGCACTGCAGTGGAGGTCAGCTCCCAGAAGGGGTGTCTCCCCTGTGTAGGAGGTGGGTATGTGTGCTAGGTGGGTTAGTATGTCGGGAATGAGGATTTGGAGGATGATTCAGAGTTAGTGGAGTCCCAGCAGGTGGGGCAGGTGGGCCAGCTTCTGACCAGGACAGAAAATTCGCCTGGGTAACTGTCTAGCAGAGCAGAAGAGCATGACTTAATCGTAGGTCTTCACTTCCTACTAGGATGGCGTGGAGCAGGTTACCTGATCTCTCCACGCCTTGGTCTCTTCATCTGTAAAACAGGAATGATACTGCCACCTCAGAGAGTTGTTATGAGATCTAGAGGATAGTCTCTATAAAGCACTCCACACGTTGTCTTGATAAACAGGTTCTAGTTAGTTCGTCCATTCATCAGATACTGTGCTCCTAGATGCTGAAGAACCATAGTGAACCAAAAAATACCTAATTCCCACCGCTTGTTGGTTGAACAGCAATGACTGTTGGTGGTGTTGTCTGTGATAGGTTGTCCTTCTGCCCACTTGACCCTCTTCCCCACTCTGATTTGGGAGCCATCACACCCCAACATAGACTGCCCCCCCCGTTCCTGACCCCTGGCTCTCGCACTTCCCCAATTGCCTGCCTTCATCCACACTTCACTTCCTGTCCCCTCACTGCATCAGGGGTCTGCTCTGTGGTTTGGCCATGCCTACTTGCCTTATTTCTCAGGTTTTCCCAGGTACTTGATAACTGTGACCAGTAATCCAGACAACAGGCTTGCAGGGCAGGTGGTATTAGTCCACATTTACAACTTAAGTCTGAGAGAGGAGAAAAGTGTACTTGCTGGAGCCCACTCAGTAGTGTCAGGGCCAGGATTTGAACCCTGGTCTATTCCACTGCAAGCCTGTTCTCTTTAGCCAGATTATATGACTTTAATAATACCTTGTGTCAGACAGAATCTTCTTTAAAAAATATCCAGAAATAATGGGGAATGTGTGGTAATGAGATTTGAAAACACTGTTCTTAGACCATGGCTTAGTGCTTGCTTAGCAAAGCCCCCAGCTCCTGGTTGTGTCCATGTGAGTGGACACACCTGTTGTACCCCGAGAAGGTACTTGGACATATGTGGGACATACTTGGACATCACAGCTCTCCCTTGGTAGAGAAACTTCAAGCATCCAGGGGTGACTCCTTGGCAATCCATTATCACAAGAATTGTCTGAATACAGACTTTCTAAGAGGTAGACAGATAAAGTGTGTAAGTTTGTTGTTGTTTTTTAGATTATTTATTTATTTATTAGAGCGTGAGCGCATGCACGAGCAGGGGGAGGGGCAGAAGGAGAAGGAGAAGCAGACTCCCCGCTGAGCAGAGAGCCCAACATGGGGCTCGATCCCAGGACTCCGGGATCATGACCTGAGCTGAAGGCAGATGCTTAACCGACTGAACCACCCAGGCGCCCCAAAAGTGTGTAAGTTTTTATGATGTTCTAGGGTCTTAGGGAGCTCAGGGATACTTCTGATGTAATGAGTAGATCTTTATATGTATAACATATGCAACATCATCACTCTTTTTTCCCCTGTTCTGAAAATTTCAGATATTAAATCTGCTGCTCATGTGGGCATTCTCTGTCTTGGCAGGACCCAATGCCTAATACTTCATATGGCCACATAAACTTTAGGGTCATGGATGGTTCCTGGGGTCTGAGAACTTGCCTGGATGTCACAGGATAGAGGATATGTGCTTATTGAAAAAACCTTAGGAGAGCCTTCTGAAGGTCCATAAAATGCCTACTTAATCTATGTGCTCCAGACACAGGGACAGTCTCCACATTGTGAGGCTCACTTAGTCAAGTCCTGGGCATCCTTGGCTTTTCTAGGAAGTGCAGAGTGTGATGGAGAGTCTCCGAGAGTCAGGGTAACGTGGATACCCCAGCCCCAGCCAGTCACCTCTCTGTGTGTTAGATTCTTTTTTTTCCCAGAAGTAAAGGCTCTTTTCTCTTGGATTGTAGTCCATTGAGTTGCAGTCTTGGTTATGTGAAAAGGCAGACTTCATTTGTCACCCCTTCACCTGATCAGGTATTGTATAAAATACCTCTATGAGCAGGTGAAGAAAGGCTGTTTTTGTTGGATCACCTAGAAGTCACCTTGAAGATGCTGAAATAATTAGTTCTAAAGCAGATTCAATTTTGCGTCAAATAGAATATATTCCTCTTATTTACACATTTTGTACGGCTTCAGATTTGCCTCCACTTTTTAATTGATTCAAGAAATGTCTGGTCTAAAGAATAAAACCATAATTTCTTCCTTAAAGTCTGGCAAAGGGTCTGATTCTGTTGAAAAGAGGAATGCCCTTTATCCTGTTCATAAGGCCTGTGAGCATTCTGATTAATATGCTTGGCATGAACACTTTCGGCAGTGTTGTCACATGATTCCACCACTTACTTTGTGCAGGGTTTTTTTTTTCCTCCCTAAATCAATAGTCGTATTTCTTGGTTGTGCAATTTAGTCTTTTGACAGGTTTATTTTTAGTTTTTCACAGGGATTCATATAGGTGAGCAGCACTTCTCTGTTTCTCCTCCACTGCATTTATTCCCAATGATGCATAAAGCTGGGTTTGCTCTAGATTTCTAGTGCTAATATTCTGCCCTTCTGAGAGAGTGTGGAAATTGGCACCATCCTCTCCTGATGAATGAGTTGTTTGCCTGTCTAGAGGCAGGAGTGCTGCGTGAACTCTCTGTGAAGAATGAGGATGTTTCTCCTATTCTGGGGTCTATTTGTCTAGGCTCTGTTGTCAATTCAATAATGGGATGCCTGAGCACATTATTGATTTCTCAGATCAAGATTTTCTTTTGATTTTCCTTATTTGCAGAGTAGTCCCATATATATTTCACAATTAAAAAGTCAGTGCTAAAAAAACAAAACAAAACAAAACGCCTGTGCTAGACAGACCGTGTTCATGGAATGGAGGATTTAATACTGTTCAGATGGCCACCCCTTACTGATCTGCAGATTCAGTGCCATCCATATCAAATTCCCCCCTTCCTTTTGGCAGAAATTGACAAGCTGATTCTAAAACTCATAAGGAAATGCAGGGGACCCAGAATAGTCAAAACAGCCTTGAAAAAGAACGCAAGTTGGAGGACTCACACTTCCTGATTTCAAAATTCACCACTAAGCTATAATAATAAAGACAGTGTGGTACTGCTGCAAGGATAGGCTTACTGATCAGTGAAACAGAATTGGGAGTCCAGAAATAAACCCTTATACATATGGCCAATTGTTTTTTCAACATGGGTGCTAAGATAATTCAGTGGGGAAAGAATAGTCTTTTCAACAAGTGATGCTGCGACAACTGGATAGCCACAAGCAAAGGAATGAATTTGGACCCCTACCTCACACCATAACCAAAAATTAACTCAAAATGGATCAGAAACCTAAGTATAAGAGCTGAAACTCAGATTCTTTGAAGAAAACAGGTATAACTCTTCATGATCTTGGAATAAGCCATGGTTTCTTAGATGTGACATCTAAAGTACAAATGACAAAAGAAGCAATAGATAAATTTCATCAAAATTTAAAATGTTATGCTTCAAAAACCTTTAAAACTATCAAGAAGTGAGGTGGCTTGCTGTTGCCTTCAGATGAAGTCGGTAACTCTGACTCAAGTCTGTCTGTCCCTTCTACCACTTGGCCCACTTTATCTAGCTACACTAGCTGTCCTGATATCCACAGAGGATGACCACAGCCACCACTTTCCTCTCCATGCATCTGTGTGTTGTCCCCACTGCCTTGGATACTCTCCCCTTATTCAACATCTCTACTTGCTTTCGTCTTGAAAACTCCGTCCCTCCAGACTCCTGCAGCTTCCTCCACTTGGCCATTCACTTCTAGAGTACTTGTGTTCTTGGTGTGGATCACTTTGACTGTCACGTATTAGTGCTTTCTTCATTAGGCAGTGCCTAGTTTCCCCAAGGATGGTGGAGATGACACTGTGTCTTGGGACATCGTCTGGTGAGGGCACATGGAAGGAGCATCAAGGGGGAGGTTGGAATTCCCTTCCATTCTCCTCTCTGTCCCTAACAGGCTCTGCATCTTAACCAAATCACTTATTTTCATCGTGTTTTCCTCCATTACGAAATGGAGTGGTTGGGAGCTTCTCAGTAAACCGTTGGCCTGTGAACTCTGTTCATGTTTTGCTCCCCCGTTTCCTACGTCTGCCGGAATTTCCAGTTGTAGTATGGACAGCTCCTTTCCATGCTCGGCTCGGGGCTTCTGATATCATCTGTTCAATAGTTGAGCGCCCATTGGATGCCCGGGGTAGCTGAAGACTGGAGTTTCCAACTGTGGCAGATTCTCCGCTGACCAAGTGGACGGTCTGCCCTGAGGCTGAGGCAGTTGGGTTCAGTACTTCGGCCCCTTTGCTGGGTTGATGGGTCAGGAGGGGAATATTGTGCCAACACCTGGTATGTACCAGGTGTTCACATGTGTTCTCTTACTCAGACCTTACTATATTTACCATTTTACTGGGTATTGTTTTCCTATTTTCCAAGGAAGAAACTGAGGCAGGGAGCGTAAGTAACTTGCCGACAAGTAAGAGGTGGAACATTGGGGATTTTTCTTGCTTAAAAGTGCTGCCTTTTTTAACACATATGTTACCTTTCTTCTGGAGGCTGCTTTTGCCACACCAGGAGCTTCTTGCCATTATCAGGGACTTAAGGCTCATAATTAAGTAAAATCTGTAACTTCCAAATAGCTCATTCTCCATCAGCCGGTTGGGGGATGCTGGTTTGACATTTCCTTCTCCAGCCTTGCAGGTGGCATTAACGAATTCCTGGGTATGAGTTTTATGCCTTTTTTTTTTTTTTTTTTTGGTGTGCCGATAGATGACATTTCTCTAATTAAAAAAAAAATGTAAGGACGGCTTTTTTAAAACTTGGAATCTGGACAGGATTAAAAGCAACTTCTCGACCATTTTTAGGATTCACAAATTCGCCAGAGTACAGCCTATAGTTTACATCAGCCTCAGGGAAACAAAGAGCACGGGACTGAGCGGAACGGCAATCTCTATAAAAAGAGCGATGGGTAAGTGGCCGTGGGGCTGGAGGTGACGTGCGCGTGGGTCTCCTGTGCCCAAAATTGCTCAACTCTTATTTTTTCTTTCCCATTTATCCCTAAGGATCCGAAAAGTGTGGCAGAAAAGGAAATGTTCAGTTAAAAATGGTTTCCTGACCATATCCCATGGCACCGTAAGTATTCTCTTTTAATTCGGGGGCTGCTGCAGGTAGGTGAGTGGGGGATGCCAGCCGCTGGGCACCGTCTGGCCTTGACAATGCCTTTTAAAGACAACCCCGCCCCTCCAGCTAGGAGAGCGCATCTGGGGTCCTTCTCGATGTGGTGCACCTCGCCCCCTGTTGATGCTGCTCCAACTGGGGAGAGCCTTGTGTCGTTCACTGCCTGACTGTGTCAGCAGTCTTCATTTAGACGCCGGTGGCTTCCAGAAGCAAACAGCCCACCACTTCCCAGCTGTCATTGTCTCTGGAAATTGAACATCCTGCTTGGGAAGATGCCTACTTTTCCATTAAAGGGGAAGCGTTTCGGTGGTCAGTACTCTGGGAATCCGAAATCCAAGAGAAGAAAGATTTCACTCATGTATTGTAGAAATCTCGCATGCTGCGCCCAGCCTTAATCAAGACCTTTTTCTGTCATCCTGTGTATAAGAGTCCTTGTAAGAAACGGAGGCCTCTATGTGTAGCCTATTGAAAAACCAATCAATCTGAATAAAATGATTTACTAATCTATCTCCCAGACCAGGGATTTTAAGCACAGTTACAAACACAGCCTTTCACACCGCGGTGCTCTTTCCCACAGTGGCTTAGGTGTATCATGCCTTACCTGGTATGACAGAATCTGGTAAATACCACGTAGGCTGGTAGACATTTTTGAAAATGTCTAAAGGCTGAGTTGTTGCTCTTTTGGGACTAACGAAAACACTGATGGTGGCCAGCGTTTCTGTTCCCCAAGCAGAAGGCCTGGTACTATGTGCATACAAGCAGCCCCAGTCCTATGAGTGCATGGGAGTAGAGATGACCCGGAGTCTTTGTCATTCCCCCCAACCCCCCTTTCCCACCAGTTCCCGTGGTGAAAGGCGGAGATGGGCAGGAGCACAGCTGTAGACGGGTAATAGCTCAACGTGAGTTCCAGAGAAACAGCTCTTCTCAGGACTCATGCATAAGGAAACAGAGTAAAACCTCACTTGAGCCTCGATTGTGTCCCACTGGGGGCCCCTTCGTTTTCACTGACTCTGCTTGGGGAAGAGAGAGAGACTGGGCCCTAGCGTACATCCAGTGTCTGTAGGGATCTCTTGGGACCTTTGGCCTAGGGGATTGAATGTGTCCCTTGCCTGGGCAAACAGAGATCATTTCTCTTTTCTAAAATCCAGCCTTCACTGGCCTCCTCCATGGTCACGACATCACTCCCAGGACTGTGCAGTTTGGATCCTGATGCGATGTTCTTTCCATAGAGACATATGCCTGAGTGTTGGGGAGGAGTGCTATAGAGTCAGGGGGCCGGTCTCTCTAGTCACCATGCCTCTTTAAAACTAAGACCACGGACTGGATGACGGCCAGGTTCCGTCCCTGCTCCAAACACCTGTGATTCTGTGCTCTGCTTTCAAATTGTTTTCTACTCAGTTGTTTGTTTTAATTCAGGTTTATTGCCTCCATGCAGAAAATTTCACAGAGTAAGACTTTCATTTTGTGCCTCTTTACAGCTCTTAAGTCATTTGGTATATTTGCCTCATTAAAGCATTCTGCTAGACCCAGAGCCTTGGCTTAAGCCAGCGAGTCGTTCTCCCTCCGAGACAGAAATGAAAACAGGCCTAGTAATCCTTTGCTCACAGTGTAAACTTGGGCTCACATCACTTCCATTACTTCTCCCTAGACGATGCAGAGGCTCAGTTTCCTTTAAATGTTGATGGGTTGCTCCAGTTTTTGGCAGATAGTAGTTATAGCTAGCTTTACTAGCGTGCTGACAGCACAACTTGCATATTTAATAAGTGCTTTGTGTTTAGGGGGACCCCCATCTAGGGAATCTCTGCACGTTCTCTCTGTGACTCACCAGGCCCTTCACAGCCTGGGCTGGGTGCTGTGGGAGCAGCCTTGCCTCTGGCCCTCTGCCTTGCCAGGAAAACCGCCGGAGGGTTACTGAAGCAGGGGCTATACACACACCACAGAGCTGTCCTTTTCTCCTCATTCTGTGTGCATTCTGCTTGCTCTGGAAGGCAGACTCCCCCCGCCCCAACACACACACACACACACACACACACACACACACACACCACACCACACCACACCACACCACACCACTGCACCCACACAGTGTTTACGGGCAGTGATGTGCATTAAACTCTGCCGAGAAAGGGATTTGAGAGATGCCTTTTTGTTTGATTTTGTTTGGATTTGGCTCCTTGTGTAGCTTACCTTTGCAGCCAGCGTCTCCCTGAGTAGGCTAATTTACCACCGGGGAAAGAGGACAGTTGTTCACAAAGAGCTGACGGAGTAAATGGGGATCTAAGAGCGGTATCTGGCGCTCAGTGGAGAATCAGATCTTTACATTGTGGAAGCACGGGGTGTATTTGTGCCATTTGGAAAACCAGTTTCTTCCCAGGAAGCTGGCAGCCTTTGGGAAAGGAGACTGTTGTGTCCTGTATTCTAGCAGAGGGATGGTGATAACATCCGGATGAATTCAGTGAAAGCTGTAGTTGGTATTCCCTGTTAGCCAAAGTTAATTGTGTTTTCTGGCACTGGGAAAAGTGATTCTTGGGACAAAATAACTAATGGAGTATCATCTTTGCCAAGTGCATCACTTTGCCACACTGCCAAAGACTGGAGACTTTTTAAACTGGAAGAAATGTCCCCTGGTTATTATATAGTCACATTTTTTTAATGATCATCAATCATAAAGAATACAGACTTCCTATTAAAGGCCTGAGAAATTGGGAAAAAATAGAATGGCATTATTAAAGTGAGAGGAGCTCTGATAATCAGTGCCTTGAGTCAAACACAAAATCTATCGATCTCTTTCCCGATCCTTCCTTTCTGTTAAGGCAGAGCTTTTCAAATTAAGCTGTCAAAGAGCACTGGTATCTGATGCATTAGGTAGAACTGTTCTATAGCTGAAATCAATGACGACACCATTTCCCGCAAATTGCAGCAGGGGAGAGAATTGAAAGCATAGAGTTTTCTCTATTTAAAAGTTTTCTCCTGTAGATTTTTTCTTACAGCTTTTGTGTCAGCTACTCCTTAATCTGGATGGACAAATAGCAAACAGTTATTAATGTAAAACATGCAAGCTGACATCTTAAGCAGTATCAGCTGTTCTGAGTTTTGGGGACCTACTCTGACAGCTACTACTTTGAACATGTAGCCACATTTGTGCCTTTAGAGTTATTCCTACTTCAAATAGAAGCACTGAATATTTTCCCATGTCTTGTGTTTGTACATGTGAAGGACAGTCTGTCTCTGAGGGTAGCTATCTTGGTAAGAATGAGCAGCTTTCCCCATGGCATGGGGAAAACAGAAGAATACAAGTTAGAGGGTGGTTTTAATTCAGTTCTGCGTCTTTGTGGCACTGAAAGGTATGTATGTCCAGGTCCGTGCCTCTGCTTTCCACGGAAATCCATGAGCTGCAGTTAAGAGCTTGTGCTCTGAGCCCAGGCTTCCCTTGGCTCAAATGCTGCTTCACTGCCCCCAAGCTCTGTAAGATCCATTACGTTACTTAGTCTATCTGGGCCAGTCCCTTTATCTATAAAACTGGAGCAGTTCCTACCTCAAAGGTCAGTTTAGGAGAATTAAATGAGTTATTTTATTAAAAATTCTTAGAACAGTACCTGTCTCCTATAGGCAAATCATAATGATGATGATGGTGATGATGATGGTTTTTAATTGCTGAGTGAATGTAGCTACTCTTATTCAGAATTATCTTCTTATGCATGAAAGTGTTTCTGTACTCTGAAAAACAAACTGAGGGTTCTAGAGGGGAGGGGGGTGGGAGGATGGGTTAGCCTGGTGATGGGTATTAAAGAGGGCACGTTCTGCATGGAGCACTGGGTGTTACAAGCAAACAGTGAATCATGGAACACTACATCAAAAACTAATGATGTAATGTATGGTGATTAACATAACAATAAAATTTTTTTTAAAAAAAAAGCGTTTCTGTATACACCAGCCCCTCTTACTGCTCCTGTGCCTAAGACTCGGTGGACACCAGCAGTTTGGAAATAGGCCAGGAACGTCCCCTAGATGCATATATATATAGTTGTGTGATCACAGGAGGTGACAGGTAGACAACTACTTTATGCAGTCAAGTATGTGGTTGCATCGTGGTGTGGTCTACCACTTGGCGCTGTAGAAATATATCATTTGGTGTATTGGTTCCTAGATGAGCCAGGTAATTCTATTGGTAAAGATCCAAAATTGGATTGATGGTACTTTCACTTGGAATTGTCAAGGTTTGCAAGATTGGATAGAGCTTGAAGTCTTTTAATACTGATTTCTGACGATTGAAGGATTCTGTTAGGCATCTATGACTGTGGAGAACATCCAGTGAATTTCATATAAGAGATGAGCCCAACATGGCTACAGACCAGGAGAGTCTGGTCCACCCTTTTTATCCAACTTCTGTTTTTACCCCACCTTCCTTTTATCAAACCCAAACTGTTGACACTGCAAGGATCCATCCTATTTTAATGGAGACTATGCTCCCTTACCCCTGCTCTGAGTTTAGTGGAAAGGAATTTATAAATGAATGAAGGTCTCACAGGTTTGCCCAGGTGTGGATGCTCATGTGTGTGTTTCTCAATGAATGCCAAATCCAAGCTTTCACAACCTGTAAATGTGGCTGGTGGCCACAGGTAGGGTGAATAAAAGGTTGAAGTATATGGCATTTTATTTGATCTTTTCCTTCAGCAGGTTGGGAGGTGGGTAAGATAAGCCCATTCATATTTGGAGATTTCTCCAAGATTTCTGAGAGACATTTTACCATTGATACTTTTTTTCCCCTAAAATTATCTTATCCTTTGATTTTTGCTTTTTTTGGACTAATTATGGTGGTTTTGAAATGGTAATAAAATACCCATTTTGACATCTCTCTGACAAAAATGTATTGTGATCTTTTGTTGCCACTGTGTTGGGATTCGGGGTACTTACGTGAATGAGATGGGTTTTGTTAAAACTTAAGTGACAAATGGTTAGCATTTAAAATTATCAATCTGTTACCTGTTGTGACTTCAAAAAGTAGGGAAAATAATTTCTCTGTCATTTTTGTGCTATGAGATTTCTTTCCTTGGAAGTGAGTGTTTACACTCAGGAAAACACTTCTAAGATCACCAGAAATTGAGCTTGGTGCCTAAGTCACCCAGCCAACCATCTGTGTCATCAGTAGGAATTGGGACAGAATGTCTCAGAGCATTAGCCGTGGAGCATTTTGATCTCAGGGAGCCCACTGCCATCGGCCTCAAAGCCAGCATCACTTGCGCCCTGGCTGGGTAGGTGTGGGGGCCGCCAAGTGTCCCTCACAGGAAGTGGCAACTGCCTTCCAGGGAGCTGAGATTTAAGGACATGCTGTGTTGTGCCTACCTACATAAAATCTGCCTTCTGCAAGCCCTCTTTGCAAACTGGTGGAAATCCTATTCTTGCTGTATTCTTTTTTAAAGATTTTATTTATTTCAGAGAGAGAGAGAGAGAATGGGAGCAGGGGAAGGGGCAGAGGGACAAGCAGACTCCCAGCTGGGCGCAGAGCTGGACATGGGGCTCAGTCCCAGGACCCTGAAATCATGACCTGAGCTGAAGGCAGACACTTAACGGACTGAGCCACCCAGGCGCCCCATGTTCTTGCTGTATTTTAATGAGAAATGATACCATATGATTTTCCCCTCCTTCCCACACATCTCCCTACTTCTCTGTTTTTAAACAGGCTAACCGGCCTCCTGCAAAGCTCAACCTATTAACCTGCCAAGTGAAGACCAACCCTGAGGAGAAAAAGTGTTTTGACCTTATTTCACGTAAGTTTATTTCTCAGGTGCTAGGCCACAGAGAAATGATTTTCAACTCTCCGCTTGGGCCTCAATCCCATTTCGAAGAATTGATTGTCAAGGAGAAATGCCTTCACATGACATACATGCTTCCTCTTTCCACTCATAACTGTTTGTTTGCCGGTCCCTCCAGTTTAGGAAGTGACGCTGAGGGCTGCCCTGCTCTCCTCATGGGCCCCCATAAACAAGGAGATTATACTAGATCAGCCCCTTGAGCCTAAAATCTGATCCTCAGTTAACTGTAAAAAAGGACGATTCTGTGTTGTCAAAGTTTCCATCGTTTGGGTGATGTTAGAAATGCTGCACAACTAACGTAGTAAGGTCTTCAGAGCCCTGGAAACTTTCGTTTTTGAAATTGTTTTGTCTTCCCCACCACAGAATTTGTTTTTTTGCTTCTGTATGCTTTTCTTTTTTGTGGTGTACACAAAAGAATCACCACAGAACCATCTGTTGTTACGAGTGTCTACTCAGCATCCCTAAGAAAGGAAAGGACTAGTGTGTCTTGAAACAAGATTGGCCTTTGTTCATGGCACATTTCGGTGGCAGGGTTACAGTTTGTGGGGAGGAAGGAGCCAGATCCCCTTTCAAAGGGGGTCACAAGGGATTTAGGCACAAGAATTGTGTTTATAGAGGAAAAGTCTAGACCGTGCATTTTAGGAAGGTGATCTTAGGAAGATGAGCACAGTCTTAATTGCTTCAGTATCCAGAGCATGACGTGGCTACTTTTTAAGATGTCTGTTGGATTATATTACTGAGGGCTAGGAAGTTATTTCTTATATGATTTATTGCTCACAGCAAGCTTAGGAGGTAATTATTACCACCTCCACTTCTCTGGATGATGAGACGGAGGCCCATGGCCCTTCATCCTTGTACCCGGTTGTCCCCGTTGTAATGCGCACTGTACTAAGTTGGAGGAGAGCCTTGAGCAGTGTGATGTGTGTAAAGGGTTTGGGCATTGTTCTGTCCTTCAGATTCTAGACTAATTTGTAATACAAAAATTGACTTTATCCTGCGTCCCTACTCAGTCTCGTGAGGGCCACAAATGTGTTTACCCCTCTGTACTCTCAGATCCTTCATTCACACGAGACAGTGTGAACGTGCAGGACTGACCGTAGTTTACAGTGGGAATGAGGGGCGCCTGCGTGGCTCAGTGGGTTGAGCATTTGACTTGATTTCGGCTCAGGTCCTGATCCCAGGGTCATGAGATCAAGCCTCGTGTCAGGCTCCACACTCAGTGGGGAGTCTGCCCGAGATTCTTTCTCTCCCTCTCTCCCTGTAACCCCTGAGCTCTCTCTCTAAAATAAATAAATAAATCTTTAAAAAAAAATAATAACATGGGATCGCTCCTGGGGTTACCTGCCTTCAGAGAGCAATAGAGTTTTATGTAAAGGGAGAGACCTTGATGGTATAAGCTGATGTCAGCAAGTGGCTGGGGACCACTTGGAGGCTTTAGGCCATACTTTTTCTGAAGCAGTAACCCATGATAAGCAGTGTGTCACCCTTCAAGACCTGATGGGCTCTTAGTAGTTAACAGAGCTTGCCCGAGCTGCACGCACACGGAGAGGCAGAGGAGAACACTTCCCTCCGCTTGCCCTGTGGGGCCCCCCCGTGAGAGGCACAGAGGCATTTACTTCATACTTGTAAACAACCCCAAAGCACTCCCCAATCTACACGTTTTTAACTACTGGTCAGGCACTAAGGAGGGTCGGGAGATGGTAAGTGTGCCTCGCTCCCTACCAAGCGTGAATTATTGCATTCCTTGGACATGTGGGAGGGCGGGCCTGTGTAAATCTGGTTTCGTGTGAACGCTCTGGCAAGCCAACATTTTCCCAGATTCCATCAGTATCTTTGCTCTACTATCTAATGCATAATAAACATCTTCGGGCAAGGGCTGCCTGCCTCTGATACCAGAAGGGCTTCCTGAATTCGGTTTGAGGCACTTTTGTAAATTTGCCAGAGTCCATTGTCATTCTTTGAAAAAAAGCTCTTCTTTCTTCTTCTTCCCACTGTGCTGTAGTGGGTAGAGTGAATCCCAATCCTATGAAATTTTCATCCTAGTTTTCAAAAGGTGTTACTCTCCTAGGAGTAGTTGTGGTGAAAATGCTTTGTCGAAGCGGTGTGTGGGTTTGGTTGTCACAGAGAAGCCTGAAAACCGGCCATGAGTCCTCCAGGGAGATGCTGCCAAGCGGTGAAGCCTGATTTGTCAAGCATCCCGAGAAGGTCGGGGCTCAGGGTCATGTCTGATCGTGCCTGAGTCGGGACATGAGGCTGTCACCCTCTCTGTTCCTCCCCCACCCGCCGGCCAGGCCACTGAGACACGTAGCACGAAGGTGCGTTTGAGCTCTTCAAACATTTGGGTGGTTGGAGAAATAAAAGTCAAGCTGCATGATCATGGGCAGTGAGGAAGATACTTCAGCTGTGGGTGTCTCAGGCCCCCAGAGTCACCCTCCCCTTGGAGAGCCATCCCGAAATGACTCAGGCGGCCCGGAAGAGTAAGAGACTGACAGCTGGCTTCCTTTGGTCCCCTGCAGGGCCCTCCGTTACCATTCTTAACCCCAGCAGTCATTCCCCACTTGGAGCCAGCTGTAAATGGGCCTGGGCTCCTCAAGGAGGGCGTTTCTGTGGCAAGGCCAGACCTTCAGGAGCTTGTCCCGCTCCGTTGCCCTCAGATCGACCCCACCCTTTGCAAACTCAAGCCCTGCGCCACTGTCCTCAATCACACCGTCACCCTTGGCAGGATGGAAGGTGCAGGAGAATTTGGAGGTGACCTAGGTCAGTGGCAGCCTGAATAAGATGGATCAGGAGCCAGGGTCTTTCCAGGTCCACACACTGGGTCTGTGGCCACTTGGAGCCGGAGCCTCAGGCAGAGAGGCAGCCCTTCCCAGCCCCCAGCTACCATCTTCTCTTGCTTTTTCTTCTCTCTCAGAGTTGAAGCTGCTAGGAGCTGTTCTTGAGTTTATATATAAGCATCTCGAAAGTGTAGGAGGGAATTCTTACTTGGAAGTTTTCACAGAGCATTTTGCCTGCTCCTCACATGTCGGAATATAGAATTGGCCAAAGAAAATGGGCTGCTCCCCTGGCCTCCTCGATTCTCCTCCTTGAGCTGTGCTGGTCTGGCCGGGAGACGGCTCAGTAAGAGACAGGGCCTCTGGCACTACCTGCCACCAGCACAGCGTCCCGAGAACTCAGAGGCCCTCCGTGTGGAGTGTGGCTCTGCCCCTCCGGGCCCCGCCTCTGGATGAGGCTGTTCACATCAGGGCCGAAAGCGGGAGCCGCGGAAGGGGCATCTGTCCAGCACTGGCACTTCGGCATGGCTCAGCCTCTAACAGCTGAATCCCGAAATTCGGTTCATTTTTCTGAACTTGAAACTGTCCTCTTAAGTCCCGCTCCTCTCCTCGGTGACGGGGTGGGGTTGGAGCAGGGGTGTCATTCTGTTCCCCCTTAGCGTGAGAAAAAAGGTAGAACAGGGTGGGAAGAAGCAAATGGGACCATGAGTCGAAGACCTGAGTCCTCTGCCGCTGGCTGTGTTTGTCTTTGACGCTCGCCCTCCATGGGCCTCGGGTGTCCCTCCAGCCAGCCCGCCGGGAGCCGTGCTCAGGACGAGCCTGCTTCCGGGGCTCTGAAGAGCACTGCTGGAAGACGACGTGTGAGCTCATTCAGAGGGGCCCAGAGGGTTCTGTGCGTCCCCAAGGACAGTCACTGCTCTGCTCTCTGCAGAAGTTGGATCTCCTCCCTTTTTTCGTTCTCTTTGGTTTTAAATTTAATTTTCCTTTTTGGTTTTGATTTGGACTCACTGTAGACAGAATCTCTGTATATCCTTCACCAGCCCCCTAATGGCTTGTCTGGTAGTATACAGTACGTGTTACCGGCCATGTGTACTCTGTCAAAACCCGGGAATCTGGGGCGCCTGGGTGGCTCAGGTCATCGTTAAGCATCTGCCTTTGGCTCAGGTCATGATCCCGGGGTCCTGGGATCAAGCCCCACCCACATCAGGCTCCCTGCTCCACAGGAAGCGTGCTTCTCCCTCTCCCACTCCCTCTGCTTGTGTTCCCTCTCTTGCTGTGTCTCTCTCTGTCAAATAAATAAATAAAATCTTAAAAAAAAAAAACAAAAAACCCGGAAATCAACATTGGTGATGCTGTTCACGAGGAGTCTTACCTGGTTCTGGCGTTTCCACTGGCTCTTGGGACTCCCTGCAGGATCCCGCGGTTCATTTTTATTTCATCTTCGTCTGCTACCGGCTGTAGCAATGTCAGAGCCTTTCCTGGTCTTCCATGATCTTGATACTTGTTTTGAAGAAGATTGATCAGGTTTTTGGTCACCTGTCCCTCAACTTGGGTTTCTCTGATGCTCTCCCACAATTGGACTGAGATTCTGCACTTTTGGGAGGAATAGCACACATCCCGTGCCCCTCTTCTCTGCTCCGTGCACAGGGGTCAGCAGTCTGGGACAAGCCTTACAGACGCTGCTGTGTTTGCACGCGGCTGTGTGTGAGCCTACGGTCTCACGCCCCATCATCACCTGGCTGTCCCTCCTGTTTCACCGTGCAACACACAGCACTCCCACGGCCTGCTAGAACGCCTCCTCTTTCTAAGAAGGCCAGAAAACTTCTCAGATACTCATGAGGACAGGCTTTTATTATTCGAAGGGCTGTAACAATTACTTTTGGGGGGGAACCAACTTTGTAGCAAGTTAAAAAAGCTTTTGAAAAGATGTTGATGGTTTCCATCCCTGAATAGCTTCAGCTTGGGGAAGCTTCATCTCTTTATGAACTGGAATGGAAGGCAGGGCAGCTTTGTGAATTTGGATGGTAAAGCCACAATCCCCCAGAGCAAGGGCAAGCAAGGCATGGAAGGACACGAGGGAGGGCTCAGTTCTCTAGAGATGGTTCATTTCCTAGCGGAGAGTTGCTGTTATTCCCAAGGTTAATCATAAACCACTTTCTGCTGGAATCCTGTGCGGATTACCGTGCAGGCTCACAGTTGACTAATTCCTCTTGCTGTGCAGATGACAGGACGTACCACTTCCAAGCGGAGGACGAGCAGGAATGTCAAATGTAAGTTCCTTGGAGGTGGGCCTTGGGGCCGGGACCTCACAGCCCTTGGGGCTTTAATGCAGCATCTCTGTTATTTTTCTAGATGGATGTCTGTGCTGCAGAACAGCAAAGAAGAAGCTTTAAACAATGCATTTAAGGGGGATGACAATACCGGGGAAAATAACATAGTCCAAGAGCTGACAAAGGAGATCATCTCCGAAGTGCAGAGGATGACGGGCAATGACGTGTGTTGCGACTGTGGGGCACCAGGTGACACCCTCCCCCCCAGCTCTGGGACAGTCACATCTCATTCCGATTCACAGACCAGTCACAGATTTTCCCTTTCACTGCAGACCCGGCGGTGCCCGGGTGCTACACAGCTGTGTCCTGGGCTGTGTGCAGGCCGTTGGGGGGCGGAGGGTGGGAAGACGCCTGCCTCCGGGCCCCGCACAGGGCCACACAAAGATGGCCTGATGTAGCTGAAAAGATTAGAAGCTTTTTGGGAAATGAAAACGGAAGCACAGAAGGCAGGTGAAACCAGGCTCATCTGCTCAATTGTATTGGCTGTGCGGCCGTGTAGGGGCGGCTTTTCCCGGGATTTACTCCATCCCCCCTTTGTGCTACTTTGTAGAACTTCTACCCACTGTCTAGTCTGTGATGCTGGGAGAGCCACTTTCTTTGTTAGGTATCGGTTTTCCTGTATGGAAGATGAAGGAACTGGCCGAGAATGTTTTCGGGTCCTTCCCAGGTGCATGTTCTGTGAATGAGATGTTTATTCTTCATTTTGATGAAGCCTCTCAGGGGCTTCATTTTTTTAATCGACATAGAGTAGTATCATTGTAGATTTTAATAGCTAGTATTTTAAAAAGCCTAAGGAGTGGATTTCTTCTGACTAAGATAGAATGGTGCTGTGAGGTCCAGGGAGCTGTGGAATAGCTGTTTCTGGACATTTACAAAATGAGAAAGATCATGGGATGGTCAGTTACCGTTTTCCTTCCTCTCATTCTATGACAGTTCTTACAAAAACAACACAACAAAAATAGAGTGGGCAGTTGGGAATTGCTGGGAGGTTCCTATTGCCCCGAAGGCTGTATATCTGGAGGTAGTTTGAGGAACTCCCTCAGGGTCTCAGACCCATTAAAAATTACCTTCTGGCAGGAGACGAGGAACGGAGTGGTAAGTAGTGAATCGTGCTTTTTCTTAAGAAAAGATGAGGACAGTGCAGCACTTGGACTTTTAAAACGCTCCCATAAAGAAGTCAAAGCTTTGTACATTTCTGTTTGCAAATGCTGCAGGGTGGGTGATGTGAAACTTGAAACAAAGTAGTCGAAACATACTCCTACCTGGCAGAAGGGTAGAAGTGAAAACACAGATGCTCAGAAGTATTTCCTAAGGGATAAAACTTTTTATAATTAAACATTTAAAGAAAGAACTTGACCGTGATCTCGTGACCCAGGTTATGCTGTTTCCCTGCTGTGAGTTTCCAAGGGCAGCAAGTGGTTGGAAAGAGAATGGTACTTACGGGCAGTGATAACGTGCTTGAGTAGGCTTTATTTTGAATGCCCCATTTTCAGGCTAGTTTTCATCTGTCAGGCATGTCTTGGGTGTCTGTTGTGTGGCCAGCGCATAGTAGGATGCCTCAGGGGGTAGGTAAGTGCTCTGAGCAGCACGGTGACGGGGCATCAGCGTGGCCTTGGGCCTTGGCACAGGCAGGGAGGCTGTCTGGCCCCACACCCCCTCCAGCAAGGCCCTTCTCCTCCCTGAGCGCTGTGTAGACAGCTGACCTCTTCACCTGCTGGCGCTCTTATATGTGCTAAATGAAGGATTCTATGTCAGTATCTGCAATTTCCAAAGCTCTTAGAATCAGAACTCTTCCTGCTGCCCCCGAAGTGCTGAGCACAGAATATGGCATCAGCACGTAGTAGGTGCTCTCTATCGTTACCGTTAGTATTTTGCGAACATAGAGACACGTTTTAAGTCTGTTCCCCATCCAGCACTACTGTGGTGGTTTTTCTCTCCCCTTTGCTGGTCTGACCAAGGTTGGTGATGGGCATGGTGGGTGCTCGGGACGGCCCTCAGAGACCTGTGCCCACTAGAGGGCGCTGCGTCCTGTGTGTTCACAACGCCTGTCCCTGGGGAGTTCTTAATGAATGGAAGGGTGGTGAAGACAACGGAGTAGAGAATGGAGGGATGGGAAGGGGACAGAGGGCAAACACCTGCGTGCGTGCGTGTGTGTGTTGTATGTAAATCGGTGCTAATGCAGAGTGAATGGTGAATGAGAGCTCCAGCTTGTGTCAAGGATTGAGAAAACGCTCGTGCTCAAAACTCCACATGCAGTAGCTCTACAGGAAAAATGTTGTGACCCCAGCCCGCTACTTACTGCAAGCTCCAATTTTCCCTGTTCTCTTTGGCAGATCCTACATGGCTTTCCACCAATCTGGGCATCCTGACCTGCATTGAGTGCTCTGGAATCCACCGGGAGCTCGGGGTTCACTATTCGAGGATGCAGTCCCTCACGTTAGATGTTTTAGGAACATCTGAGCTGCTGGTAATTCTCAGATCCTTGATTTTGAAATGGAAATGAATGAGCTGAAAGCTGAGTTTTCATGTTGGCATTCAAATCCATTTTGGTTTCTTGAAATTCCACTGGGCTGATGGTGGTTGATTTTTTCCAGATGGGTTTGGGCAATTAGAACCTCAGTGATGATTCCTCCTTCTCGGCTATTGGTAGTTGAGGGCACTTTTTGTTATAAAACTTGGTTCTTAAACGAATCAAGTGAAGTGAAACAGAAAGGAGGGCTGCGACTGTTGTAAGATCATGGACTAGGATGGTGGTGTAGTCTAGCTCACCCCATTCCTTAACTGCATGCGGAACGCCGAGCCCAGAGACAGTCGAGGACGCGTTTCCCCTGAGTCCCCCGCAGATTCCTGCCAAGTCTGTGGTCACCACTCAGCTCAAGCCTCCAGTGCTCTTTTCCTCAACCCCTTACTGTCGCCCTTTGGGGGAGACACTGATCTTTGCTTTTACTGCCTTTGTTTCTAAGGAAGGCTTTCATTCCTGGTTCGGTGATAACACATAAGCCATGCAGCGCAATGTACATTGATCCTGGGAGGGTGAAGCACTTTCTGTCACAAAACATCCAGAGTTTTGAGACTGGCCCCACTGAGGAAAAGGCACATCACACTAGGTGTTTTGAGACCACCTAAAATGGAGCTTTTGTGACTGTTTTCAGAGTCTGTAATTGCTGGCGGGAAGCAGTGTTAGAAACTCTTGGCATTGGGCTGGGCATTGGACAGTGAACATTAAGTGGTTACAGATTGCCGTTGATTGTAATGAAAAGAGCAATAGTCTTGACAGAAAATCAATTATCGTGGTCAGTATACCTCTCAAGGGGCTATACATTTTATTGATGACTGCTGTAGAACCAGCGTGTCAGAACTTAGAATGCATTTTGAACTGTCTTGTCAAATCCTTCCACCCTTTCCAGAGGATTCCTTTGTGGTCTTGAAAGACAAAGTTGGGAGAAACTAGAGTGAATTCTGGTCTCCCAGTTAGTAACATCCCTGATGACGTCAAGTTTAGAACTAAGCTGGACCCGGCAAGACTCCAGCAGTGTGTATCCTTGGTTCCACAGTGTGGTTATTGTCAATGTCATGGTGCATTCACCCACGTCTTAGAGCTGCATGTGTCCAGGGGGTGGTATCCTGGGCAGCTGATGGTGGCGTAGATTTGAGATTTCCACAGTCTGTTTTCAGAGAAGCATAAATTCTCTGGTAAACTCTGGCAGTTGCTATACTGCCATTGCTGGTTTTCTCAAAACAGTGGGAAGTGTTCAGTGATTTTTGGTGAAATAATAATTGCTTATTTTGTACGAGGCTCTTCATAGAGCACTTGATATATATTAGCTCATTTGCCCTTCACGACAACCAATGACCTTGGTATTTATCCCCACTTTACAAAGGAGGAACTGAGGCTTAGAATGTTATAATGTGCCCAAGATTATATAGTTATTGAAGTGCCAGATTCGGGGCGGGACCCTTTCATCTGATCCCAGAGCTCAGACTTAACCTCTGAGGAGCCCGGGACGTAAACTGGCCTTTGTGGGGGCCACCTCTGAGGAGCCCGGGACGTAAACTGGCCTTTGTGGGGGCGAGTCTTGCCACGTGCTGAGCATGTAAGCATCACTGCCATCCCTCCCCATCCCCAGCAAATGTTGAACAGCCTCTCCACGTGATGTCAATACTCCCACCATGACCTTTTTGTCAAATCTGTGCCGTCATGAGTAACCAGTGTGAGTTACCGACTATGCGGTGGGAAAGAGGTGCTTGGTAACACACCCTCATACGGGGAGTTCTTCTCACAAACAGCGGTCTTCAATGACTTCAGAAACAGTAGTAAAATGATTTAGAAGTGATGAGTTTTGACTGTTACTTTGTTTTTAATATAATTTATGTAACTGCGAGTTTATATAATGTAGTTTTACTAATGGCAATCATGAGCTGGTAGGAGCCTGACCCCAGCACATCTGTTACACCTGCTTAAATGTGTCTCAAAACCTCAACTGGTGGTCTTCATGAGACTCTTGCCCGCTAAACAGGAAAAGGCCAAGGAAGGTGGAAGGGAAGATGTTTACATCTCAGTGAAATGATGAGGTGGCTTCTGATACTGGGTTCGAATCTTGGTCTCTCTCTCTCAGGGCCTCTGTCAGCAAATGTTCACAGGAGTTTGGCCAGCTGTTAGCCCTGATGGAGCCGTCAGGCAGAGCCTGCTTATTTAATATCTGCAGGTATTTCTAGAACCTGACCTCTGCCGTAGTTCCAGACTGTCCCTCATGGTTACAGAAAAACAGCGGGATGGGGCGCCTGGGTGGCTCAGTCGGTTAAGCATCTGCCCTCGGCTCAGGTCATGATCCCAGGGTCCAGGATCAAACCCCACATCGGGCTCCTGCTCAGTGGGGAGTTTGCTTCTCCCTCTCCCTTTGCTACTCCCCCTGCTTGTGCTTAATCTCTCTCTCTTTCTGTCAAATAAATAAAGAAAACCTTAAAAAAAGAAAAAAGAAAAACAGGGAAAAGGGCCCCAAATCTTGTGAGGTTCACTCCCACCCTCCGTTTGCCCCTCAACTCTGCGTGTGTGGTTGCTCACTGGAGGTGGGCATCTCCCCAACCCCTCCCACTGTGTACCAGGATGGTGGGCCCAACATCCTGTCCTGAACCCTTACTGCGCAGCCGTGAAGTCAGGCGCTGCATGGACAGTGTGTTTTGGTTTAGGATTCATTTATAAAACATGAGTTCAAGCCCTTTTTTAGAAGATTTTATTTATATATTTTTTAAAGATTTATTTTAGAGAGAGAGAGAGCTTAAACGGTGGGGAGGGGCAGAGGGAGAGAGAGAATCTTTTTTTTTTTAAAGATTTATTTATTTACTTGAGAGATTGAGAATGAGAGAGAGAGAGAGTGCACATGAGAGGGGGGGAGGGTCAGAGGGAGAAGCAGACTCCCCGCTGAGCAGGGAGCCCGATGCGGGACTCGATCCCAGGACTCCAGGATCATGACCTGAGCCAAAGGCAGTCGCTTAACCAACTGAGCCACCTAGGCGCCCCGGGAGAGGGAGATTCTTAAGCAGGCTTCCAACATGGAGCCCAGGACCTTGAGATCACAACCTCAGCCGAAATCAAAAGTTGGACACTTCACCGATGGAGCCAGCCAGGTGCCCCTATGAATTCAAGCCTTTCTAAAGTATCCAGGTTCTTGTGTTCTGTGTAGACAGGTGGATGCTTGCACAGAGGATCTCCTGAAGGCTTGACACATAGATGTCTCTGTGTGTGTGTTTAGAATTATGTCTGGCACATCGTAAGCACTGTGAAGGATTAGCTCTCCTTATTTTCCAAGATGACTTTAAATCCTTTCGGAAGAATGATCCACATGTCCTTGTATGTGAATCCACAGGGAGATTCCACTCTGGTTGTCTGCTCCGTGCATGAACCTTGAGGATGCGCAGAGCGGTGACCTCAGGGTGTTTGGTTGAGTTGTTCATCATGGTATGTGTTCTTGTGCAGCAAACGTTGATTAAACTTCTTTGCACCCTATTAAGAGGGTGAACTGGAAAGTAATTTTCCAGCGTCTCCGTGGGAACGTCCTGGGCAAAATTGCTTTACAGGCTCAGTGATTCTCTGTCCTTGAGGTGAATCAGTCCTAGAGCCCATATCTCAGGGAGGTGTACTGTGATGAGCGGGGATTTCATTCTCTGGCTGGCATGGTGCTCCTAAACAGACGCTCGCCACGTAGAATGTTGCTCCTGTTCTCCCATATGGCCTCACCATATTCTTCATGATAAAAATCTTTTTGCTTAATTCCGTAAATTATTTTCTGGTCTCAGGTTTGCCCACAGTTCCCTTGGATGGTATGCTGTGGCAATTTCACCATTTCCTTTTTTATTTATTTTGGGTTCAAAGCATGCTTGGTTTCCATATTAACTGAGTGGATTTCAGCGGCATCCATGAAGGTGGCTGCTTAGCAGTCATCTTTTCTTCCCTCCACCTGCTTTTAGAATCATGTCTTATTCAGCAGAGAGAAACTGGGTGTGTGAAGGTACTAATTAGTTCTAGGAAGTCATGTCATTTGAACTGGTACTCTAGCACACACTGCTCAGTATCCTTAGATTTTAAAGCAAACCTGCTTTCAGAAATCCTTCTGGTAAACATAGATTTGGGGAAGGTAAATTTTCTCCCTAACATAGGTCATCATTTCAGCGTTGATTTTCAGTTCATATGTAAAACGGTACCACTGGTACTAAGGTCCTTGTATCATATGATCCGTTTGACATCATATGACCTTTAAAATTAATAAAGGAAAATTTGATATTATGAAATTGAAATGGGGTCAGTAATTTTAAAATCTGTTCCATCAAATTGAAGAGCAGGGTCAGGAAGCTTAGGAGCACATATTGCTGACTCAGGCCTATGCTCCCTGACTTTGTCCTGCCTCCCTTGTCAGGAGGTTGTTAACAAGCCGTCCAGTGTAGAGGCGGCCCGCTGACAGCAAGGTCTGAAGGAGAGCACGTGGAGAGGGAGGCCCGCGGAGACTACAGCTACCTTACAGCTGGAAGCGCTGTTTCACCTGGCACTGAATGAAAGCCATTCCTTTTTTGGAGGTCAAAATTGCGAGCTCACAGCATTTCTTGGCTCTGCCTGCTGGGGTCCAGTGCCCTCACTTCCCTGGGCCTTTACCCATTTGAACATTAACGGTGTGTCATGCCCTATGGCCTTCCTTACTGCTGGGATGGGAGCGGCCCCAAAGTCTGCTTTGTTATAGAGAGAAGCCAAATTAGTTGACCAGGTTCACACGTGAGGTAATAACAGCCCCCAGGCTCCGGACAGGAGGAGCCCACCGCCCCCAGTGTGGCATTCTCTGGGTACAACTGGGCTGAGGCCCTCTCTCAGGGAAGTTCTTTCTCTCATTTGTCCATTCCTCCTGTTGAGGGGCATAAAAACAGGGAAGAATGTCAGAAGAGTAGATCTCTCTCCACCTGGAAACGTGAAAATGGGCAGGAGGTTTTCCACATCCTCACCCCAAACTGTAAACACAGTTTCCAGATAACATCTAAGGCTCCGTGGACCCTGCAAAGGTAGGTGCTACAGATCTGCAGGAATGTGGGACTCCCAAGTCCCCGTGCTCAGGTGCTTCCATGCAGTGAGGGGGAGGCATGCAGGGTTCCCCGCAAGGCAAGTGGGGTAAAGCGGGCATCTTGACCAGGCATCTGCCCTGCTGATGTACACCTGCCATCTCCATACTCATTGTGCTCAGCACAGACTTCTTTCCCAGCCCTCAGCACTGGGCATCTCTTTCTGTCAACATCCCTCTTGTTAGACTGAGCCCTCTCCAAGCAGGGTCGTGTCTCATGCTCAGCATCCAGCATGCCCAAGGACTCGGTGTGCGTTTGTGGACTGAGTAGGGGCTGGCATTTGCTTTGCTGAGTGATGTGGCACTTCAGACCCTCCTAGATCTGATCTGGCCCCGTGTCTGCCTCGGCGTCACCCTCAAAGTCCTCTGGGAGTGTTGGGGGCTGCTTCCCACCAGGCTTCCTGCTTCCTTGGCTCCTGCCCACATGGCCTGCTGAGACCCACATTTTCTTGACATGACCCTGCAGCCTCCATCTGCAAATGCTTTGCTTTTGTTGATGATTCTAAACGAGTTCTCTGCATGCTGAAATATTCGCTGGAACTTGGCAAAACTGTGAGGCGGCACATTTCTCTGCATTGGACGAGTGTGACGCATGGATATGGTGGCTCCCTGGACCAGCTGTCCCCTGGTAAACCAGCCAAGTCCAAGCAGAAGGGAGGCAGCTTTCTGATTCCCAGGGAATTCTCCTCCTCACGCCCCCTCCCATCTGCCTACCACAGACTCGGAGGCATGTGGGCCCCTCGCACACAGAGGGGTGCTGTGGCTTTTCTGCCACTCGCCTTCTGAAAACGACGGTGCTTGGCGAGGGGACAGTGTCCAGATTATAGTGAAAGATGGGGTTGTGAGAGCATGGCTGGCTCTAAACAGGGGTCTGATCCTGAGGTTCAGTCCTGGATCTGTCACTGACGATCCGAGAAATCCGTTGCAGGCGTTGACTCCTTGGTACATCGGTGCTGTCAACTGACATGGTTGACCATCAGCCTCATTCTTGGGGAAACAGCGGCGAGGCCCTCGGGTTTTGTCACCTGACAATGGCTTGAGGCCACCAGGCCAGGACTAGGGACCCAGGTGGGGTCGGTTAGTGCTTGGTGCTTCGGGCCATCTAGGATGCCTTGTTCATTTACGAAGGACGGTAAAATTAGGAAGGCTCATCACGAAGTTACAAGCTGACACATGTCCCCTGTCCTTCGGCCTCCCTCACAATCCCATTTCACTGTGTCATGTTACTTGCCACCAGAAGGTTCGACCTCATCTAACTCAGATCCCTTTGGCTGCTCCTTCCAGTCTGCTCCCCCAGAGAGAGAAGGGGCTGCTCAAGCAGCAGCCTTACCTCCCAGAACCTCTCTGGTTACCCTGTGTCCACGTCACTCCTCGAGAGTAGAAGTAGCAGAGTCCCCCCCCCAGCTCCCCATTGTGCCATTTTCAACACGGAAGTTAAAATATCTCCTCTCTCCAAAGCCCTGTGCTAGGTGCTCCCACTCGGTTTTGTTTCATTAAACATGGAAGAAGCTAATGTCTGTCAGGTGCTGGGCTGGATGCTGGGACATGCTTTTAAGTAGCTCCTGGTCACTCAGAGTTTGTGCATCCGTTCAGGAGATGCCAGTCACCATACTGTCAGGGTAGCTGGTCTAAGACAAGCTCTGATATTTATCTTCCTGTCTGCTGCATCGAGCGTAGTGTCAAGGATTCAATGAGCATTAACTAAAATGTGTTCATTTAATTTTTTTTAAAGATTTTATTTATTTATTTGAGAAAGAGAGAATGAGAGATAGCATGAGAGGGGAGAGGGAAGAGGGTCAGAGGGAGAAGCAGACTCCCTGCTGAGCAGGGAGGCCGATGTGGGACTCGATCCCGGGACTCCAGGATCATGACCTGAGCCGAAGGCAGTCGTCCAACCAACTGAGCCACCCAGGCGCCCTGTTCATTTAATTTTTGACAAATAAGAAGGTTGATTGTTGAGTGGGGACCTTACATTTGGAACAAATACATTTTTAGTGCTTCAGTTTATAGAATTCTTTCACCTAAATTGTCCCAGTTTATTATTATTACAACCCAGCAAGGCAGGTGTCATCCCCATTTTACTGATGAAAAATTGAAACTCAGGGAAACTGACTTGTGTGTGGTCACAAAACCAGAAAATTGAACCGTGATTTAATCCCAAGTCTTGGCTTCCTGGCCCAGCACCCCCTCCACTGTATCAGAGCCACCTCCTCGCTGGCGTAAATAGATCTTATTAGATCCATTTCACTTGGAGCATGAGTTTTGCAGGGCGTGGGTAAGGAGGAAAACTGACATTGGACCAGGGTACTCCTTCTTCCTGTCCATCTAGGTACTCTATCCAGGGGACATTTTACGAGAACATTTCTCTGTAATAGACGTACTGCTTCTTATCTCTGGTTTTATGGGTACCTTTGGGGTTTGAGTTTTGTCCATCTTTATTAACGGCAAGCCACTTTATTGCTCTATTTCTTAGTGGCCATTAAATAAATCATCAAATGCATGAGTAGTGTGTAGCAGTGGAATGGATTAATAATTGAGTGCCCTGAAATAGACTTCTGTTTTTGCAGCTTGCCAAGAATATTGGGAATGCAGGCTTTAATGAGATTATGGAGTGTTGCCTTCCAGCTGAAGACTCGGTCAAACCCAACCCGGGCAGTGACATGTAAGTATGAAACTGGCTGTTCTCGTTTTCTGAGCAAAGATTAGCCTTGTACCTGAGCCCCGAGAGACAGGAGAATAACAAGCTTGGGGTATCTCAGTGGTTGCTTCTTTAGGGAATAAATCAGCGTGGGTGTTTTTGCGTAAGTCCCCCTTTTGGGTATCCAAATAAAAATTTGGTGTGGCTGGCTTTCTTAGGAAGAAACCACAGGAAGGCAGCTTTGGCCGATGCTCTCTGTCTGGGAAGGAGGACAGCAAGTGTCGCCCTTGCTGGTGGCGTGTGGGTACCCCCTCGCCTTCTGCCTCAGGGGAGTTCTCTCTCCCCTTCTCTCCGGATAAATTCTCAGCCACTGGGAGGGTTAGTTGTCACAGATACATGACTACGTACCATTTTCCTTCCCAGGGTCCTTGCAAATGTGGAGTGTGTTTTCTTCAACAAGAGTTTTTTTGGTTTTGTTTTACTGTTCACACAAAACCTGACTGAGAAGCTTTTGTGCCTCATGGTGCACCTGCGGGCCCGATGAGGCAGAGCTTATAGCAGGAGATTTTCCTGCCAGTCTTATCAAACAAAGCATAAATCACCCAGATCACACTGGTCGTTGAGGGGGAGAGGTGGATGGAAAAGGGCAGCGGGTCAGGGCAGTGGCTGGCCCGTCTGCTCCAGGTGGCTGGGGGCTGGTTACTGCTCTGTTGCGATGCAGAGTGGGGCGGACGGAAGGAAGGAAGGCGTCTGCAGGGCAGTAAAGACACAGCACCTGCGTTCGGGTGGTGAGTCTGGATCCAAGTGTTCCCGCAGGAGAGGAGGAAATGAGAAAAATGTGATAAGAGAGAGTAGAAAAATGTATTTACAGAGGCAGCATTGCCTTTGGAAGAAGCTTGGGAGGGAATTGATGGCACAGGTCCTCCTAAAGGACATTAGGCGAGAACAGTGAACTGTGCTTGAAGAGAGCTTTTACCCACAGGAGGCCGTGTACAGGCCTGTAGCGAAAGCTGAGAACTGCGGTGTTTGTAGCCCGTTTGTCGGGATGTGTCTTTGGGAAGCTGAGATTGTAGGGTCTGTGTTCTTTTGCATTGAGGTGGGGTAACTTCATGTAGTAAGATAGCCTAGACATCTAAGGGCACGAACCCAGCCCGTGGCCACCAGGTATCAGGTATCTGAGAGGAGCATTTGGTTGGTGTTGGGTTAGAGTTGATTCATGTCGGAGTCCTATAGCAAATGTTTGTGCTGTGGCAGTTCTGTGAGATTGGACACGAGGCACGAGGCTGTTGTCCTCTCTGGATGAAGATCTGAGTTCCAAATCTGTGTTCTTACCTAGACCTGGAAATCCAGCCCTTCCCTGATGGTGGGATCTGGGCAGGCTTGCTGGCTTCTCAGAGCCCTCTTCTCTAACATAAGCAGGGGATCACACTCCCTGCTCACAGAGCCATCGGGCTGATCATCAGTGGGAGGGCGAGGTGACACATGCACTTTGGTGGTGTTGGCAACTCTGTTTGCTCTCCTTGGGTGTGGGTAGTAGGGGCAGGGTAAGCGCTACACACTGATCCCACAGACCCTGAAAACTTAGGGTCCTTGCAATTTAGATTTCAACTAGAGAGTCACCCAGAGGTGAGCCAGCTTTTCCTAGGATAGCTAAAAGATCCTGTTGAGTAAAGGAAACTCCGTGGTCTGGTATGGCACATTTATTTAGTCTACTTAATACTGCGCTCAAAGAGAAGGTACCAGTCTCCTGAAATGCTGTAACGTTGATCAATTTTGAACAAAGCATATGATAAATAATTTCTTCCAAGTACCAGGGGTGCTTTATAAAAAGCAGAGAATTTGTTTATTCTGGGGCTAGATGATTCTAAAAAATGAACACTATCTGCTTCAAATCCTTCAATATAAACATATTGTCTGCATTTAGACACCCCCCCCAACCTTGGCACAAATGAAAAGGAAGTTTAGCCCACCCCCTCCCCCCCCCCAAAATGAGAGCGGATGGCCAGTGTGTTGGCAAAATGCCGCCTGCTTTCATACCTGCTCAGGTGAAATGAACTGCTGGGCTCTCTGCTCCCGTAGCATTTGGCTCTGTTTTAAAACCTTTCATCCCACTTTCTACCATACCGAAGTAGTGATACCCATTTCTCTAATAAATTGCATCTTCCTAACTTTTGTATTTTCCGCCACAACATGTTGCTTGTGGTGGTTCAGTACATATTTAATGAATCAACGAGTCAAAGATAAAGTCCCAGCTCTGTGGCTACTTAAATAAGCTGATATTTTACTTGCACATGAGAAGGAGTGTACTGTTGCTGGCTTTATCTCAGCAGAACACACCATCTGCAGATAAATCTGTTGAAAGGGAAGCTGAAGACTCTCTAGCGGCCTGTGAATCCCAGATTTTGGATTTGGGGGGTATGCAGAGAGAGAAATAGGTGGAATGGGGGAAGCAGGCAGATTAATGTCTGCTTACGGAGGCCCACCGCTCCTCCTGTGATTCAGGACCGTTACACAGGCCCATCCTTCAGAAGTACAAGAAACCTGTCCTGAACATGTGCCAAAAGTGTTATTGTCAGTTCACTGCTTTTCTCCAAAAAGCAAGAGGTGGGGAGGGGATGGCGCCAGCAGGGTGAACTTCCCTCACAAAGCCGTGGAGCATGGTGGTGCATAAAGCAGGTCTGTTCTTGGGCTTGTGTAGGAATGACCTTCAGGGGACGCAGAGCCCTGGACAGATGAATAATACATTAAAGAACAAGTAAAGGGGCCAATAACTCTCTAGCTCATTCCCAGGGAGGCAGGGGAGGTCACCTTGGTGATTGTCCCACAAGGATTATTGAAACTCCCTAAAACTTGACAGCTGGCTAGTCCAACCACCCATCATAGGAGACCTATAGAATTTGAATCGATGTCAGATACAGCATACCGTCAAGCCCAGAAGGTCACTGAGCAGTTCCCTGTGCGCCACACTGTGCTAGGAGGCCCCCTCAGGGAACTTGCCCGCTGCATGAAGAAACAGAATCTTATGTCCCTCCATAGACTTCAGTTTACTTCTCTGTAAGGTGGAGACAAAGCTCATAGCCTTGTTGTGAGGACCAATGGGACTGCACATGTCAGCTCGACCTGTAAGCCCACGGGGGTGCACGTTTGTGAGGCGACACACATAAATTGGTTAGCACAGTTCACGCAGTCTGCATTTTACAAACACCCAGGCCATGGATGTCTTAGGTCAGGTCGTCAGCGGAGAGGAGTGAAGCCCCTGCTACCCTCTTGGAGCCTGGAGTTGACCTGCTCGCTCCCGGCCCTGGGGTGCTGACCGGAGGGGCTCGGTGACTGGTGGCGACAGCAGAGGCGGTTGGCACAGCCCTGGTGGCGGGATGGGAGGGAGCAGTGCCTGAGCTGAGAAGAGCTGAGCATGTTCCACTTGGCACTACAAGCCCCTTCGTTCCATGCCGGTGTTTCTAGAATGCTGTGCCAAACACCTGAATGTGCTCTCTCACGTAACCTGCAGCAGCCCTGTGAGCAGGTGGGGTCACCGGAAGGGCTTGCCCACGGTGCCCTCGACAGGAGGCGGAGCGGGTCTGAGCAGCCATCTGACCTTGAGCCCGGGCTCTCTGAGCCGACCACCAGGCCCTGGCTGTTCCTTCAGCCTCCCCTGCCCAGCTTTTTGAAATTTCAGGGCACTTCACTTTCCAGAAAGAGTAGTTTCCAGAAAGGAGCCAAAGGCATCGATCCTGTTGTGCTATTCTCCCTGTGTCTCTGTACTTCTGTTGGCTAAAGTTCAGTTTTTGTATTGTCAGTGGAATTTTGTTTTCTCTGACATGCTTTTTTTTCACAGCTTTATTGAAATACAATTCACATACCATACAGTTCACCGATTTAAATGTAAATTCAGTATTGTTCAGCATGTTCACAGAGTGTGCATCCATCACCACAATTTTATTTTACTTTAAAGATTTTGTCTATTTGAGAGAGAGAGCAAGAGAGCACAAGCCAGGGGTGGGGAGGGGCAGAGGCAGAGGGAGAAGTAGATGCCCTGCTGAGCAGGGAGCCCGATCTGGGACTCAATCCCAGGACCCCAGGATCATGACCCTAGCTGAGGGCAGACACTTAACCGACAGAGCCACCCAGGCGCCCCAACACTACAATTTTAGAACATTTTCATCCCCCCGAAACAAAACCCTGCACCTGTTAACCAGCACCCCCTCCCCCTCAGGCCCTGCTAATCCACCTTGTGTCTCCACAGATTTGCCTCTTCTGGGCATCCCGTGTATGCAGGATCATAGAGTGTGTGGCCTCGTGTGGCTTGTTTGACTTCGAGTAATGTTTTCAGGGCTCATCCGTGCTGCAGCCAGTGTTGGTACTTTGTTCCCTTGTATGGCTGTGTGGAGAGACCACATTTTGTGTCCGTTCATCAGCTGATGGGTTTCTGGGTTGCTTCCTGGCACTTCTCACCTGGTGGCCACAGGGAACTTGGCATTATTCACTATGCCTCTCAAAAATCCTGTCCACGTCTTTTATTCTGCTGTAACTTGTTAAGGTCGTTGGAGTAAAATACGGAGAGTCCTCCTGACACAAGACCTACTGTTTTTCTTGCTCTCTATCTTTGAAGTTCATCAGCAAGTTCCAGGGTCCTGAGGACCTACCGCATGCCCTGCAAATGTCAGTTCACCTACTTGTCACAGTTCCGCGAGGGTGTGTGGTACACACTTGCACAGATAAGACTTGGGGCCTCCAGGCATAGAATGCTTGTCCCAGACACACCATCAGGTGGTGGGGGCGGGATCTGAACCCGTGCTGCTTTTGGCTTCTCAGAGTTGCTGCCACTCCGTGCTCTGTGGGGAGGTAGAGTCTGTGAACACTGTGCCACAGGAAGGCCAGAAAATGGAGCGCAGAGACTGCCAGTTTGTTCTGGTTCATCAGACATATGGTGCGTGCCTTTCCTGCCAGGCACGGTGCCCATGACTGAGGAGATAGCATCTTCACCCTTGTGGACGGCCTCCCAGTCTGCCTGACCTGGCCAGCTACGTTGGCCCCTGAGTAAGGCCCAGGCACCCTGCCCCGGGCCTTGAGGCCTCTTGGGTTGGAAGCTGGAAGATGTCAGTGCTTCTTAAAAGGGTTCTAGGTGTCACTGGACATAGACGCTGCCATAATCACACAGCGGCCCCCTTCCTACACCCCAGTGCTTCCCGCAAGGAGGGTGTGGGCAGGATTTTTAAAAATTGTTCCAGAATGATTGAAGGTTAGATATGTTTGAATAGAGGCCCTTAGTCATTTACAAGGCAATTATGCTTGATTTCAGGAATGCCAGAAAGGACTACATTACTGCCAAGTACATCGAGAGGAAATATGCAAGGAAAAGGCATGCGGATAATGCAGCAAAACTTCACAGCCTTTGTGAGGCCGTCAAAACAAGAGATATTTTTGGATTACTCCAAGCGTATGCTGACGGTGTGGATCTTACAGAAAAAATCCCACTGGCCAACGGACATGTAAGGGTGTGGCCTGCTCCTTTTAAAGAAAGAAAAGAAAGGGAGTGGGGCAAGTGGCGAGGCAGTGTAATCAGAAGTGCTGACAAAGTGTCTAGTTCCCTGAAGGAAGGTAGCGTTGAGCTCCGGGGAGGAAATTGGTGCTTTATTCTTAAACCAAAACTAGAATGCCCGTCCTGGAAGGAAAGGCCAGTCCCTGGGGGGAGGGGGCGTCTTCCCAGGGACCCGAGCAACCCAAGAGAGGTCCTGTCTCTGGTGAGCGGGATCCACACTTTCAGTAGCAGCTGCTGGGGCTGCCCTGGGAAGGAGAGCCCCCCAGCCTGCTCCCTCCGCTGTGCCCTCCTCCCTGAGGGAAGAGGAGGAGAGGGACATCCCCCAGTTTCCTGGGAGAACCCTGTTGAGAGGGTGAGGTCTCAAGGTGGGACCTTCCTGTCAGGATCGAGTCTACAGGAGACCGGTTACCAGTGTCAGGGGTTGGCGTATATCCCAACACTCTTCCATGGGTGACCTTGTGACACACACCACACATTCCCTAGAAACCTTACCATCATAATGAAGGTGCAGGGTGCTGGGCTGTTACCCTTTAGCAGCCCGAGCACATGCTATATGGAGCCTGATATTCTGTGTTTAAAAGAGAGAAAAGTCAAGCCCAGGGCAGAGCATGCTCAGCTCAGAGCTGTGCCGTGGCCAGAGGACGAGGGGGGCGGGGGGGGGGGCCCGGCTGGCTGGGCAGCTGGAGTGGGGCACCTCCTCTTCACCTCATATTCCCTGTTGCATGGATATTTCCTTTGCCTCCAGCTCTCTCGCCCACCCACCTGCCTGAGGCAACAGACCCATCTGGTCTGTCCTCCCCCACCTGCCAGAATTCACGTTCAGAAAAGGCAGTGGGGTCAGGTGTCTCCTAGTATAAACTGAAGGCAGTCTGGGCATTAACACTGATGGCCCTGTCTGTAAGTATAGAATGAAAACCGTGAACACCGGTATCAGAGACTGCATACGGGAGGCCTGGGGACCTTCCTGGTGTCTTTGAACAAAAGGGTCCCCCCTTACATGTTGTTGGTGCAGGGATAGGGACCTAGAAATTGAGGGGACTCTGAGATGAAACCCCTGAATTTCTCATTACTTTCTGTGGAGGAAGGAAGACCAGTCTCAAAATCACAGGTTGCCAAGGGCAGAGTTTCCCCCGGAGACTAAAGGGGCCATATATCTTAGAGATTAGTGTTTTGAAAGAAAGAATAAAAGGCTTTCGGAAGAGAGAGACACGATTTCACTCACACTGGACACGAAACTGAATGCTCCTCTTGGAATTCTGGAATGTTTCTGTTTGGTCTTCAGGAGCCAGATGAAACTGCCCTCCATCTTGCAGTCAGATCGGTGGACCGGACTTCTCTCCACATTGTAGACTTTTTAGTTCAGAACAGGTAGGTGTTCTAAAATTAGGGTAGCGTTTTGTTTTGTTCCTTGGTGTTTCCAAGGAAGGATCAGATTCCTGCCTCATTATGTGGCCAAGGTGCTGGGATCTTCCCAGGCCTGAACACGAACCGTGGGACAGGAAAAAACCGCCAGGAGCGGGGGATTCCAGCGTAGTCCCCAAAAAGCCCTAGAGTGTGAGAACAGAGACCCTTCTTGGTATCTGCAAGACCCTCTTCTAGCGTCTGGGACTCAGGAGATATCGGGTCAATACGTCTGAATTCTGGGCCCTGGAGGGCAGACTGTGAATCCCATCACCCTGTGTGCACAGAGCCATACCCATGCTTGTCCCTCGAGTGTCTCACTAGACCCAGGCAGGTGCCCTGAGCAGTGGGGAGAGTAAAAGGGACGCATAAAAGATCCATACTTGGGCCACCCGCCTAAGCTGAGATTGTAAACTGCATCACTGGGTTGTGGGCATTTTGTTTGGTTTGAAAAGTTGTTTCTGTTTTTTAATTAGAAGTTTCCTTTAAAGAATGTGCGTGCTGCTTACCTGGGCTCCATGGTCCTGTTTGTTTGATGCATCGCCCGCCTGGGGCAGCAGGCCAACCATGAAGACCCGTCACAGTGTATCTTGACTCCCTGATCATGGTTTGGGGTGTGTCGAGGGGGAGGTGCTGGTCAAAAGCCCCTGAAATTGCCCCAGGCGGAGTGGAAAATTCCACCGTGCAAAAGCAAGGTCATATTTTGCCTTTCGGCCTTTCCCTGCTGTTCCGGGGCGGGGTGGGGGGGGCAAGAAATGGCCAGAGGTAGAGCAGCTGGGGGCAGGTCAGCAGTTTGCGGGACTCAGTGGAAGCTGCGCTCTGTGGGAGCCAGAATGCCCACCCTCGCATGTCACGGTGGCTCCGTGGACAGTGGATGAGACAGCTCAGTGATGCCATTCCTCCTCAGCGTAGTCTCTCGGAGCGTGAGAAGGGAAATCCTGATTTCTTCTAGCGTGGAAGGAGGGCAGCAGGAAGAGAGGAGAGATCAGAAGATGAGGCTCATTTTCACCCTGAGAGTGTAGCAGGTTGTGTCCTGATGAGAGCTGCCCCCGATCCGTCCTTCCAGGGCCCACAGAGCCCCCTCCCTGTCCCTCCCGCTCAGAAGGACCGCTGTGTTTCAGGGCTGCCTCCGCCGGTAGGCTGGGTGGCTTTGTCGGAGGAGTGCAGCAGTCCGGTCTTGTTTTACACGAGAAGGACTTTTGAAATCTCACGATTGCCACTTTGGCTGTTTTCGGGGCAGCCCGGGGCCCACAGACGCAGAGGCCTTTGCACGTTCTGGGCTTTGGAAAAGTGGCTCTTTCCCTTCCTGTCAACAGTGTCAACAATATGAGGAGAAAAAGGCTCCCTCGTCCTTCCGTGGGACAGGATGGCGAGTCACGCCGGCTTCCTGAGGCCCAGACACACACACTTCAGCCTCCGGGAGCTGATGGAGAAGCGGGAGGGATGCCGTGGTTCAGGCCGGCCCTGGAGGAGGCAGCCAGCACCCCCCACCCCCGCAGCAGCCACACGGGCGCCTCGCTCTGGCCTTCTCTGCCGTTGTTGCCGGGTCCTGCCGGCCTCAGCCCAAGCGCCTCATCCGCCCCGTCCCGGCACCGCTGGGGAGGATCGCGCCAAATGGCCTGCGCGCTCATTCTGTGGCCTGTCCTGCTCACGGGCCCAGGCCCCGGCCTGCGACTCACCTGTCTCTCTCTTCCTCTGCCCCTGTTGTTGGTCAGCGGGAACCTGGACAAACAGACGGGGAAAGGCAGCACCGCCCTGCACTACTGCTGCCTGACGGACAACGCCGAGTGCCTCAAGCTCCTCCTGCGCGGGAAGGCCTCCATCGAGACCGGTGAGGCCCCCAGGCCTGGCTCCTGTGCGCAGGCCCTGCACTGCTGCAGGGAAGGGTCCAGATGCTGGGCTCCTGTCGGCCAAGGGGACCTAAGTCCTGCCCTCTGGAGGCGGGGGCCCTCTCCTCCTGTGTTTGTCAGGGGTTTCCCGCCATCTGGGACCTAGGCTTTGCGCCACGGGCAGGCTTTGTATGGTTGTGAGAGGCAGAGCGTAGGCCCTGCAGATGCCGCTTGTGCTGAGGTGAACTTGAACAAGGTTTGGGGCATCTTGCCCTCCTCCTCAGAACCCCCAGCCAGGATCAGGCTTAACCCCTTCCCGGTTCTGGATGGAAGGTTTACGGGGCGGTGGGGAGTCAAGTCTCCTCCACAGGGGACCCTGAGCTCCTGGGCCTTCATCCCTCCCTCTACCAGGGGACCCTGATGCACTGGCAGCCGCCCGAGGGCAGGCAGCTGTGATGGCATTGTGAGGAAGTGTTTTTGAAGAACCATTGAACAGAGAGCAAAGAGAACAGAAAGGAGGCACACACCTGCTTGAGCCAAGTTTCTTTCTTTCTTTTTTTTAAACTAATAACCAAACCTTATTAATGGAGGCTTATTTGGAAGAAAATACACAATTTCAGATTTACAGACTGTTGAGTAGGAGCTTGGTTAGCGCAGTCTTTAAAATCTCGCCGACCATACGCTGCTGCAGTTCTGTAGGACTGGAAGACCAGTCAGCCTCCCTGCTCCACGCTGTGCATCTCATTAGTTGTGCTCAGTGTCACTTGGTGCTGCCTCCCTGTATCTTCTTTTAATTGCCTCTTGATATCAGACCTTTGCTTGTTTTTATCGTAACGCCTCCTTGTTTTGCCCTGCCTTTTAGCCAACGAGTCCGGAGAGACGCCACTGGACATCGCCAAACGCCTCAGGCACGAGCACTGCGAGGAGCTGGTTAGTCTCCTTTTTCTGGCGCCGACAGAGTGAAGGCGCCCTGCGCGGGCTGGGAAGGGGCCCTGCCCTCTGGGAGGAGGGTCTTCCCACATTTGGACCCTAGAGGGGACAACCAGAAGAAAGCGTACTCGGGGAGTCTTTTGAGAGGAGGGGACCACGCCCCTCGTAGTGACGCTTGGAACACAAGTCGGAATTTGCTGGTTGGACACGTGGCATCACCTGGGGCAAGTGGAGCAGAGATCGGGGGGCCGCCGCGGCTCTGGCCCTTCTCTCGAGTCTGTGTGCTGCTAGCTCTTCCCCTTGCGGCAGCATCCCCAGCTGGTGTGTGTATTTTGTCCCCCAGCCCCAAGTCATTTGGATTGTTCCGCACCGTCTTTTCCTGTCCTGCTCTAGAAGAGGCAGTGCGGCCAGCAGACAGAGCCCACGGGGTCAGGCAGTGCAGGGGCTCCCACCGTGACCTGGGGAAGTCACGCCAATGCCGACTCTCCCGCTGTTTCCTTGTTTGTAAAGTGGAGTCCGTTACACCAGTTTACAAGGTTGTTGCAAGAATTAGCATTGCACTGTGCGACACTCAGTGAGTGCCCCATGACTAGAACTACTAGTAAATGCTATGGAAGCGTGAGATGAGTGAGAGGTACTGTTCTCAGTACTTCATATCCGCTAATTTAATCTGGATAGCCACCTTGTGACATGGTTTCTTCTGCTATCCCTGTTTTACCGATGAGGAAACAGGCACAGAAGGGTTAAGGAACTTGCCCAAGGTCACACAGCTACACTTTGGCTGTGGAGGAGATTAAGGGCTAATGTGCTAAGACACCCACTGAATCTAATGAATTCGCTTCTCTCCTGTGGATCTAACGTGGAATTGGGTATTTACCTTCCTTGAGAGAATTGCGAAAATACTCATTCACATCCTTTTTCTGTGGGCCGTAATCTCTTGTGAGGGCCAAGACTGGCTGGGTTAACAGTTAGTGGACACGTGCATTGTCCTCTGTTGAGTTTGCTCCTGTGTGTGCCTGTCAGCACCTGCAGGCCAACCATTAGCCTTTAGATCGTGAATAGCCCTTGCCTGCGCACGGCACTTTACAGTTTACAGACCATTAAATGGGAGTTTCGAGGTTTGAGTTTCAAGGTCCTCGGTGAAGTAGGGAGGGGGCTTTCAGTCGGCTGGCTTCGCCCCAGAGGGACTCTGCCTCCCCTCTCCCCACCTCCCACCACCACCCATGGGTGCCCGCCTCACGGGCGGCGTCACCCACAGCCCTTCCTCTTCTCAGCTGACCCAGGCCTTATGTGGGAGGTTTAACTCTCACGTCCACGTCGAGTACGAGTGGCGACTGCTCCACGAAGACCTGGATGAGAGCGATGACGATGTGGACGAGAAATTGCAGGTTGGTGCCGGGCTGCAGGACTCTAGGAGTGTTGTGATGTGCTTCGCTCTGACACTGTGGAGCCTAGAGTATAATCAGGGCACAAAGTGGTTTTGTACAAAAAGTGGAGTTAACTCTGGGCTTCCATTAATCTCAGTAGCTGTTTGGTTTTGCCCTTCCCACAACTGCTGCTGGTCTCCCAGCTCCTGCGCGTGTTGATTTAAAGGAACGTTACTTATGTCCTCATTGTCAGCTCTTCAGATCAAAAGATACGGGGGGGCCTCTGTTTCTAGTGGGATTTCGAGGAAGCCCTCGCACCGTGGATGTGGTAAAGAGCCAGGGGTCCCCAGTATCACAGGTCATGATCACCAGTTGATCTTTAAAACCTTAACTAGAATTAAATGACCATTAGAGCTCTGGGTCCAGCTTTTTCCTTTATCAGATGGGATCATGGAAGCTTTAAGAGAGGTTGGTTTAAGAGACCAACTTGAGGCCAGACGGAGGGCGCTTGGCCTCCGAGTCCAGCTCCCTGCTCATGACACTGTGTCTTGCACAGTTGGCACCCCCTGGCAGGTTACCCCCTTCATGTGTATCTCAGAGCTAAGTCAGACTCCAGCAGACTGACTCCAGAGCCCACACTCCTAGCTGCCAGGAAATTGATGGGGCATGCCATATAAAGTTTTCTATTTTTACTGTAGGACTTGAATGTCCTGATGTGCACTGAGGATGTCTGATTATATACATATGTGGCATTTCCAAAACCTCCTTGACTATCCTTGTTTGTGGAGCAGTTAACATCCATACTTACTATTTCTTAGACTAAGAAACTTCTCCACTGAGTTAGCTATAAAATGGTGTCCAAGTGAGAAGAGCTGACTAATGTTATACTTACCCACCGTAAAAAAAGATTGGAAACATCGGCCCCAGGGCGAGTCCATACATCAGAGTCGTATGACACAGCAGGTCATACAGTCCCAGTAAAAGTCTGACAGCAAGTGCTCACACTCCTCCTCCCACTCCCTGTTTCCAGCAGAGGTGGGTATGATACAGCCATGGGCTTTGTTGAATTTAAAATATGTGTGAAGAGAACTAGCCATCAAGTTCTGCGTAGCTGAGCTGAGTTTGAGCCATTGGGTTGGCCAGAGCCTTGACTGGGCGGGTGGTCCTGTGAGGGGCAGGGGGTACGACAACCAGTACTGTACCTGCCAAGCTCCGGGCGTTGTCCTGGAGAAGCCGAGTTCCTCCCATTGAAGACATGAGAAATAGGGTCAGCAAGGTTAAGGTGGTTGCTCAAGATCATAGCTCTCGTAATGAAGCTGATGTAGGAAATGAATTAAATCTGGTTTACCCGAGTCCTGATTTCATGGGGAGCAAGGGTCAGCAAACCAAAAGGGCCAAATAATAAATATTTCAGGCTTGTGGGCCTAAATATCACCATCTTTACTGCAACTACTCAGATGTGCCAGGGTGGCTTGAAAGCAGCCATAGACAATATGTAAATGACCAGGCATGATTGTGTTCTAATAAAACTTTATTTATAAAGACAGGTGGTGGCCCACGGGCCATGGTTTGCTGACCCCTGAGTTAAAGGAATCTTGAGACTTCAGTTCATTTTGATCTCCCCTGAATTTGCTGCCTAGCTGTTGGGGATTGATTGCAGCTGGGTGCTCAATTGAAAGTGTGTTTACAAACAGGAAATGCAGTGAAAATGCAGATCTAGGTTAAGATAACTCTGGCTAGTAAAGGTGAAATAGCCTATGTTTTCAATCCATTACAGAATGGAGAATTGTAAATTATAAATCATGGCTTTTGGGGGTGGGGTGTGTCTCCAAGAGACATGGTAAGAGTAACTTTCAAATCTTGCGGCTCTCATGTAACAATTGAGAGCCCAAGTAGCAGCGGTGTGCAGGAGGTGGTCACCGGTAGACCGGACGCTGTGACCGAGAGGTCAGTGTGTGTGCATTTCCCACCCCTCTGCAGCCCAGCCCCAGTCGGCGAGAGGACCGGCCCGTCAGCTTCTACCAGCTGGGCTCCAACCAGCTGCAGTCTAATGCTGCATCTTTGGCCAGAGATGCCGCCAGCCTAGCCAAGGACAAGCAGAGGAGCTTTGTGCCCAGCATCTTACAGAACGAGACGTATGGCGCGATCCTCAGTGGCAGCCCGCCTCCCACCCAGCCTGCGGCCCCCAGCACTGCCAGCGCCCCCCCACTGCCCCCACGGAACGTTGCCAAAGGTACTGACCTGCTGTAGCTCCTGCCGGAGCACAAAGGGCATGATTTGGTTTTTGCTTTGGCAAGTTTATAGTTGCTTTGCCCCCTGCTAGATGACATTTGGGGTTTTTTGTTGTTGTTTTTTTGTCTTAGAGTTGTTGGCATCCTAAAGGAGCTCTTCATTCTTAGGGTGCTGAATGGTGCTAGAGCATCTGACTTGATCCTTGTTCTGGGTAGAGTTGTGGCATCTGTGTCACGTGGGGAGTGCGGGGACCCCACGCAGGCAGGCTTGAGGTGGGTGGCTCAGCTCATGATGCTGGTCCTGTGACACTTTCCTGCAGACCTTCCTGTTCTTTTTCTCTCTGCTTTTACCACTCACCCACCTTCATTCTTTCCTGTTTCCTTTCACCCAGCCCACATTCAGCCAGCTTGTGGTGCCTGTGTTTATTTTTTATCTCTGTGATCCCCATGAAACGAAGGATAAAAAGATGCTAATTTGGGGAAGGATACTCAACCTCATCGTAAAAATACAAAATAATCCCGCGGGTCCGGCCACTGTCTTAAGGGCCAAAGCTTCCTCCACTTACCTTAGTTGCTCGGTCCCAGCAGAATGAGTTGGACTCAACAGATGCTGGTTTTTATTTTTATGAAAATGGAAACTGAGGCCCCCCAAAAGTTAAGTGATTTTCCCAGGACTGAAGCCCAGCTGGCCGTTCTGCTCCTTGAAGGCAGGTCCAGCAAGTGGCCAGCATAGCTCCTGGCCAGTGGCCTCGGGAGGGCATCCCATGAGAGGGGAGGACAGAGCCCCGCGGGATGTGGTGTCCATGCACTGTGGCTGGTGTGGGCTACTGGTCCAGAAGGAAGTCCCATGGTGCAGTGGTGCTGTGTCTGCTCTCCGGGAGGGGGTGTGAGCGACCGTTGTGGCCTGGGTGGGGGAGTGAGTGTGGCAGCTGCCATCAGCTGGCCCTGTGTCTCACCCCCCACGGGGCCCTGCCCCCAGCACCCAGGGGGATCCCTCAGGGAGGCCAGAGAAAGCCGACGGGGGCCTGTCGTCTAGGTCACTGAATCGCACCCCCAGGAGTGAATCCCCGAGAGGAGAGCAGGTGCTACCCAGCAGGTCCCAGAAACAGCGGCCTCACCTCCCAGACAGAGGCCAAGGCCCCTGCGCGCCCACACGCCAGGCAGTGCTGCCCCCGGGCTCGAGGGGGCACTTCCTGCGCAGGAGAGAAGCTGCAAGACCAGGCCCCACAGCTGCCCTCCTCCCCGTCACCTCCTTGCCCTGGCTGGGAGGGGCCCACGGTCCGGTCCTCTTGGGGCCTCTTGTCTCCCCAGCCTCCTCCCGTGTCCTGTGTGCGTGTATTAATTTTGTAAGGCTGGAGCTAAAATGGTTTGGTCACCTCCACCCCATTAGTGGCTTTTACTGACTTGTGTGTCATGGGAGGAAAGATTTTCTTTTGCTCTGTTGGGCATGTATAAGGAAAACTTCATCTTTTTTTTTTTTGCTTTTGCTTTTGCCTAAAGTCTTAGAATGAGATGGTTTGGGATTTTTTCTGACTTCTTTCTCTCTCTCTTTTTTTTTTTTTTTTTTTTGACTATTCCCGTAGTTAGTTTCATGTCCTCCTTTGACGCTGTAGATTGTCCTTCTTCCCTGTAGCCCCCCAGAGAGTCCCTCTGGTTCTCAGTCTAGCCCACACCTGGCCCAGCAGGGAGTCCCCGCACAACAAACAGCAAAGGGAGTCAGCATTGCGTGGCCTGCACCAGGGCAGACATCATCCACAGGCCACATTCTTCCCCAGGCCTGGGTCCCCCGTGTGGGTCACCCCTGTGCACGGAGCTCTGTGGGGGCAGAGATTGTGACCTAGGCTGTGCTGTCTGCCCCGTGTGTGTCAGCTGCGCCCCCTGGGTGTCATGTGTGCTGACTTTTAGCCAGAAATGTTTGCAGGAGGTGGGGAGCCTATCACCTGTTTCCGGTCTGCACCCTTCTCTCCTCGTGCTCTGAGAACAGGTGCTCCCCTGGGCCAGGCAGTGATGCTCACACAGCCACGGGAGGGCTTAGGGAATGGGGAGAGGCAAGCAGACGTTCCAGATTCTGAGTGCAGGGCTCAGGACACGTCATGGTGGTTATTCGTTTTCCTCTTCAAACAGTATTTATATTTGAGAAAGAAAATCAGTAAGGTTGTGAAAACCAGCTGGTAATTTTCCCAGAAGCATCCTTGGTCTGGTGTATGTAAGTCTCTATCATCCAGGTGCCAGAGACAAAAATTTCTTAAAAATCAGGATTCTGTTTGTGGTCTTAATGCTATTCTAGAAGGGTCATATTTACCATTTTCTGAGAGAGGGGATCAATAATGCAGTGTTCTGTTTCTGTTTTTGTTCTGTGCTTGTGCGTGCCTTCCTGTGCGTGTGCATGCGTGCGTGTGCATGTGCGTGCGTGTGCATGTGCGTGCGTGTGCAGTTCAGACAGCCTCCTCCGCTACTGCCCTGTGGAAGACAAACTCTGTAAGTGTGGACAGTGCAAGCAGGCAGCGATCTTCGTCAGATCCGCCAGCTATCCATCCACCGCTGCCCCCTCTCCGCGTGACATCTACCAGTACGTTTTCTCCTTTTTCCTTTCTTGCCGGTGGGCTCTTGGATCGGATGGCTGGGGGGTGCTTTTGGCAGCCACGTGGGGAGAGCTGCGAAGCTGCACGCCCACAGGCAGACGCTGCCAGGAGCCCAGCCCTGTGTGTCCCCACCCCCTCACCCCCCCCCACCAGCCCCTCCAGCCACCCTCCCCAGCTGCAGACTCCTGTCTGTCCCGCATCCCGCCCGGGGGGGCTCACACACTCTCCTCCTCTGTCTTCCCGAGCACTTGAGCAACATTCCTTCCTTTCATGCACCAGCCCAGGGCTTCATTTCCTCTGGCCATTTGATGGTTCTCAGTATTTTGGCACAGTCATGTGGATGTGATCTGGTATGTGTTCTTCTTCAATGTCAACACGTGGGTGAAAGGCCCAGGGCCTAGGGGAGGGGGCTGGGGGGGAGGAATGTCTTTACTGGATCAGTGGGGCAAGCCCTGAGCCTGTCTCCTTCCTGCTCTGCGTGGGCTGTGGGAGGGAGGAGCTCCAGCCTGAGGGGGCTGGCTTTGAGAGCACTGAGTGGTACCCAGGTTGTTCCTGCGGTTTTTAACCTAAGCAGCAGCCCAGCCCCAGCTGCAGAAAGTGCCACGTGTGTGTGCGCTGGAGGCCCTGGAAGGTTCCGTGGATGTCCCCCGTCCTGTCCTGAGCATGGCTTCGGCCTCAACAAGGATGGGGCATGAGGGCACCGGCTATTTGGGAGCAGCACGAATGTTTGTTAGAGAGGGGGAAGCCGGTAAAGGAGCCAGAGGCTCAGGGCCCAGCTCCCTGTCTTACCAACTCTCTAACTTTTGGGGAAAGCACGTCACTTTGAGCCTCAGCCTCCGAGTCTGTAAATAAATAATAACCTCTTTGCCTTGCTCCCCTCACAGATTGTGGAGCCTTTACAGAGTTAGTTCTTTACAAGCTGTCTCAGATTGACCTGCTGGAAGCCTGGGGCAATGGGGAGGACCCAGCTCGCCAGGGGTGGGACTGGGGCAAGACCCCAGCCCCAGCCTCAGCCTCTCGCTGCTGTCTCTCCAGGTCTCAGGGTGGCTTCCCCACAGAGGAAGATCCTCATGGGCTCATAGAAACGTTTTAATCCTAACTGGAGGCTTGGAAGGGCTCCCTGCCAATACGGTTTTCTAAAAATCTACAATGAAAGGAGGGTGTTTTCCCTCATGAAATCACCATTAGGAAAAAAAAAAAAAAGGAAGCCCTTAGGAGAAGAGCCTCTGGTGAGAAGGCTGGGGATGTGACAAAGTCTGACCCTCTGTGTTCCTCTCCTTTTCTCTTTCCACAGATCCCCTGGCTCCCACTCCGCCCCCTCCAGTAGCAAAAACGCCCAGTGTGATAGAAGCCTTGAGCCAGCAGAGCAAGCCGGCCCAGCCTGGGATCCCACTGAGCAAAGCCCCGCCTCCGCCACCCAGCCGCCTCCCCCAGAAGAGGCCTGCTCCCGGGTAACCACCTGTCTTCCAGCCCCACCCCCAACCAGGGCCTGGCCGAATTGCCATCCTGGCTTCTTGCATTCAAGGTTCCAAGTGCCAATGGCCCCATTCCTTCATCTGCTGAAATTTCTGTACAAACATTTGAAATCTCCAGTGCTTCTACCACTAACATTTGAGTCCAGGTGTCACCTAGCTAATTCATCAGAGTCAGCTATCTTAAAAATAACTTACAAAGAATTTTTAAACTGTAAAAATTTCACACAAATGTGTACCTTATATCCACATAATGAATTTAGACTTCTGTTTAGTACAGACACTGGGTTTTGGGAATTAAGGTCAAGATGCTAGGCCTCTAGGTTCAGTTTGTTGCTCACTCACAAGGTTAACTTGCCTCTGTGCATCCTCTGCAGTGTGGGGCGTATATTTCCTACAAGCTAGGATGCTCTCCTGCATCAACACAATACGGCCAGTGCAGTCAGAAACTTAACAAAGACACATTACCACCTTCCAACCCTCTGACCCCATTCAGGGTTTGCCACTTGTCCATAGAACATCCTTTACCAAGAGGGATCTAGTTCATGGTCTCAAACTGGAAAATGGTTTCTTTTAGTGGCAGTGATACTTAGAAGCCAAGATCTGAGTGCTTTGTGTGCTCATTACTCTTGGAGGGTCGCCACTCCCAGGCAGGCCCTCTGAGTGGTTGGAACCAGGGATACACACACGTCTATGCATAGGTGACCATCCATGTAGATACACATTGATGAACACATTTATCTCTGTATTTCTATCTCGTCTTGAAATCCATGAGTTCACATTATCTCCCATTGCAAAGCACACCAGGACACAACCATTTTATTATGCTCCCAGACTCTGTCAGGAATTTGGATTAGCACAGTGAGGATAGCTTGTCTTTTTCTCCACAGTATCTGGGGCCCTACCTGAAAAGTCTCAGAGGCTGGGATGGTTCGACACAGGAAGTGACTCATAGGCGAAGGGCTCATAACCCCTCTCCACTCCGCGCATCTGGTGGTTGGTGCCGGCTGTTGGCTGGGGCTGTTGGCTGGAATGCTTACCCGTACGAGGCCTCTCCATGTGGTGAGGGCTTCCTCAAATCATGGTGGCTGGGCCAAGAACGAGTCCCAGGAAATAGGCACAGCCCTGGGAATGTCACTGGTCAGGTTGAGGTGGGGACGGTGCAGGAGCACAGAGTGGTCACAGACTCCAGATTTCAGGAAAGAATTTGGGGCAGTGTTTTCAAGACACCACAGGGTTCATTCTCATCCTCCCTCTCTGTGCTCCTTACTCCCTTTTCCAGTGGTGAGAAATCTGGCTCCCATCCCTGCCTCCACCTTTCCTCTCCCTGCTGAGATCTGGGGTCCCCCATGGAGGTCTTCTTCACCCTGCTGGGGTGCTCTCACTGGCCCGCCAGGCAGCTGCCTGCCTTGTCCCCCTCAGGCACACCCTGTCAGGCCTCCTGTCCCTGCTGAGGCCCTGACTCCCCAGGGCGGGTCTTTTTTCATCCATGCCACCAGGTAGATGATGGAGCCTTTCAGGATAGAAACTACAGCCTTCAGTTCTTTATCTCCCGGGGCCAGGGTTACTTCCTGAGGGGGCGCCTCGGACCAGAACCAGTCCCAGGGCTCCACCTGGAGGCCGGGGCTGGAAATGCAGCTCTGTACAGCTGAGGGGCCGCACTCTGCCACCTTCTAGCTTCCATTTCTCTATTGCTGGCTGGCTGGCTGGCTTTTTAAATCTACCTTCCTGGGAGATTTTCCTCATTGTATCTTCCAGTTCTTTTACTGAGCTTTCCATTTCCGCTATCACATAATTTTCAAGTTAATAGTATCCTGTTTGTTTCATGGAATCGTTTTCTCTCATCTCAGATTATTAATGATGGGTTTGGGGCAGTGTTTCTGTTTATGTTAGCTTTTGCTTTTCTGAATAATTTGTTTCTTCCATGTCCATTGTCTTTGTTTTCACTTCTGTTATGTTAGAGGCTTTTTCCTATAAATCTGGTGTTCCCTGCCCAGAAGTTGGCACTTCAGCTGAGGCATTAAAACCGATCGCAGTCCGTACGCTCATGCGCAGAGCTGCCAGGTAGAGCAGTCTCACTGGCTGTAGAGCGTCTCACTGGGCACTTTCACTGGGGAACCCTGAACTGGGGCCTTTTTCTTGAATAACTCAGGTTCCTTAGAGAACCTAGGTCTTTGTTTCTTGCCTGAAGGGATCAGGTTTTCTAGGAGTTGAATAAAGAAATGAAGTTAAGCTTTTACTTAGTTCCCCCCCCCTTTTTTTAAGAGAGGTGGGGGGAGGGGCAGAAGGAGAGAGAGCATCTCAAGCCGACTCCATGCTGAGGGCAGAGCCCAACACGGGGCTTGATCTCACGATCCTGAAATCATGACCTGAGCCGAAATCAAGAGTCAGACGCTTCACCAGCTGAGCCACCCAGGAGCCCTTAGTCCCCGTTTTTTTAAAGATGCTCCCCAAAACCGCACTGGTGTACTCCCTAGTCCAGACATGCTCTATTCTACCCTCTCCAAGAATAGAAACTTCTGGTCTTCAGTGGGTTGAGGGAGGGTAGTTGCTACTCAGGGTTGGGCTGGGAATCCAGGGATTCAGTAGCTCCTTGAGCAAATTTTGGGCCCATCTGTGTTTACTGCCCTGCCTTACAGCTCCCCCGCCAGGGGCTTATGAGCCGTAGGGGCTCAGAGCACAGATGGGGGTCCTTCAGGGCTTCCTTACTGCATGAGGGGTCCCCCTCCATAGGTGAGCTGGCATGGTTAGGATCCGTCTCTCCAGTGGCCGCTTCCAAAATGTTTCCTCTTCAGGTTCTCTTGGTATTTTTTTGGTTTAAGTTTTTTCTAATCTTTTTCCTTGGGAGAAAGTGGAAGTAAATGTATTTCAGTCTGCCTTTTTTTAACCAGAAGACTCTCAGAACTTTTTAATACTGTTTTGTGAGATCTCTTTCTGAAACATAGCACGCACATCCTTGCCTTCCTGTTCTAAGCGGCACGTCCGCGGTCTCCGTGGCTACTGAGTTATGCGGTAGGGGGGACGCTCTCACATTTATGCTGAGGGGCCGCAGGCTGTGCTTCTCGGGGTTCCTGCCTCGGGGTCTGTGTCTTGCTTCACCTTGCTCCCCTCTTCCCCTCTCGTAGCTGCAGACTTGCTCATCCCGGGCTGTTCTCTCAGATGCCAACTCCCGTGCTGAAGTTCTAGATGAGAGCCGGTCAGCGTCCGGCGGCTCAGAACAAGGGGTGTTGGCTGCCAGTGCCCGGGGTTGGGCACGGCCTTGCTGGGTGTGTTTCATCTCTAGTGCCGTCTCAGCTGATTTTACCTGCTTCTTGGGATCCTTTTCTCTCCTCTCGTGTGACCAGAGGGAGAGGTGGGGAGGGGGGCAGAGTAGGTGATGCTAGGGTATCTCCAAGACCACTTTGGATGGGTGGAAGCCTGCCCTCACCGCCTGGTGGGGTTCTGCTGTGAAAGAATATGCTGGTGGGGCCTCTTGGTAGAGGAAGCACCCACCCTGGTCTTACCCTGGGTGTACATCTGGGTTTTTACATGGGCTCTTAGAGCAGGCCTGATCAGCCCCATGCCTGTGTTTGTATGGCCCATAAGCTAAGATGGTTTTTGGTTTTTAAATGGTTGAAAAAACCAAAAGAAGTCTCTGTCATGACACACGACAACCATGTGAAATTCAGATTCCAGTGCCCACAAATACATCGTAGGGGGGCACGGCCCCGCTCATGGGTTTCTGCGTTCCCTGAGGCGAGTGCTCTGGTGGCAGGATGAGATTTCATACACAAAGCCTGGAATATGTACCGTCTGGCCCTTTAGAAAAAGGGTTCGCTGACTGGTGTCTTCGAGAATCAGGCCTTTCCTGTGGGCCTTCCTTAGTTGGGGGTGACTAAAGGCAAAGGGGGAGCAATATGATGACTTCTGTCTTGACATTGATGGAAGTCACACGGCGAGACCTGTCAGGTCGGTGGGGCCTTCACTTGGTAGGTGTTGTTAGTTTCTTGAAAGTATCGTAAACTCAGTGCAATGTTTTCTTTACCTTCGGTCTGAGCACAGATGGCTCCCTCGGAAAGAGGGGGTGAGGTGGGGGTTGAGAAGGTGCCTGTGGGGCCTCAGGCACCAGTAAATCTACTCTCCCCTTCTTTTAGGGCTGACAAGTCGACCCCACTGATGAACAAAGGCCAGCCAAGAGGACCTGGTAATTCTTTCATTTGGCCCCGGGGCTTACTGCTGCTTCCGCGGGGCAGCATGGGAGAGGTTTGGGCCACAGCTGCGCCCCTGCTTTCCGCGGAGCCTCTCCCGCTCCTAGGCTGCTCTGTACTGTGTCCTGCCTCCCTGTCCCCTTCGGGTGGGGGGCCGGGCAGGGACCTAGAAATCTGCAGAGGAGCTGGTGACACCTGTCCTGCTCCGTGACAGTCACATGTCTTACACGTTGGACAGAGGCTGCATGGAAGTCACAGCTGCTTGGGCCTTTGAGGGACTTTTCCCTCCATAGATCCTGAAATCTCTGGAAACCTGCCCTTCAGACATGATGCTGTGGCAATTATATTAAGTGTTTATAACTCATTGGTTATCCCTGAGGGCATATTGTGACGTTGATTCATTTTGGCCCTACAGGAGTGGATCTCTCTGGAACAGAAGCTCTGGGTCCTCTGTCCAACACTGCCGTCCTGCAGCCCCCAGCCCCCATGCCCAGGAAGTCACAGACAGTAAGTGGAAGAGCTCCTCCTTTCCTGCCTCTTTGCTTGGGCCAGCAGTGAGCAGGAGACTCTCCAAGGAAACAGGTCTTTCCCTCTTCCCCTGGGGGGCGGATGGGAGGCCTCTTCCTGGATCTGGGCAGGACACAACCCCAGAGCTCTCCAGCCGGTGGGCTCAGCCCCCTCAGCACAGCTCCAGGACAGACCCCCACGTGCACCCCAGGCACCAGGCTGCCTTTCTGTGTTACTCCTAGCTCTCCACACTCAGCTGGGATGGCTTAGCTTTTCCCTGGGCCTCCCAGAAGTCCCCCAGTCCCTGAGCTACAGCGGTCCACCCATCTTGACACCTGTGGGCTCCTGAGCCTGTGGTCCGGACCCCTGGGACCAGCTGGAAACAAAGCGGCCCCCTTCTCTGCCCCAGGAGCTGACGTCTCCCTGCCACACTAACCTCTGACCCTTCCTCTTCTCAATACAGACCAAGCTAAAGCCCAAGCGGGTCAAAGCTCTCTATAACTGTGTGGCCGACAACCCAGATGAGCTGACGTTCTCCGAGGGGGATGTGATTATCGTGGATGGGGAGGAAGACCAAGAGTGGTGGGTGAGTCGGGGGCCCGGGCCCGGGCTGGGCCTGGGGTGGGTGGGGCTGAGTCCTGGCCCACCGGGCCCGCGAGGGCTGCTCCCGGGGCGGGGCTTCTGCCTGTGCGTCCTCGGGACGGCTGGCCGTCCTGTCCCCTCAGACTGCTCTGCCAGGGACCCCCACGTCTGTGTGGGCCTCACTTACCCCCCGGGGTGGGGGGTTCTCCCCCATCAGGGTGCAGACCACTTGGGCTGCAGTTTCCAGAGTGCACTTCAGGGTCTGAAACGAGGCTTTGAGTTTAGAGGTGGTACTGTCATCCCCCACGTCGCCAGTTCGGTGGAGGGCGGCATGCAGAAAGCTGACCTAGGGGGCAGAGTCCCTGGCTGTCGGTCTTGGCCCTGAAATAAGCCGTGACATCCAGCTGGGGGCTGGAAGGGCGTGAACATGGTGTTTCGCGGGGTGGCCCTAAGAATCCAGACTCAGCACTTCACAGACTTGGTGACGTTACGTCACTACGCCTTAGTCCCCTTGTCTGTGAAAGGGAAGTCACCTCAGCACCGCAGGAGAGAGGGTACGGAAGGCCCCCAGTAAGGGACTGTATTAACAATGAGGCCAGCGGGCCTTGCCTGAGAGGCTGGTAGTGTTTGTACACAGTAGACACCAAGGGCCCAGTCCTGGAGGTCGAGCTCGGGTGTCGCTGTGCTCTGTCGAGCGCGAGGCATGTCAGGTGGTGCCCCTGGCAGAGGGAGCTTAATGAACTCGGTGCCCTGCCTCTTTCCCCTCACGGGATTCAGGTGTCCATTAGCCAGAGCTCCCTCTTCTGTCGGCCTAGCCACACCCCCAGCAGCCAGGCAGGAAAGGGGGTGCTGCTCGTGCTTCTGGTTCCGGCAAGTGTGTGCCCACCATGTGCGGACCTGAGCTTACTCCCTCCCCGACTGCCCCCCGGCCCCAAGAGCTGAAGCAGATCTGGCTTTCACACTTGTGTACAACGTGGCGTGAGGGCGGGGCTCCAGCCTGGCAGTGGGCTCAGCCATCTGGAAAATACAGAAAGGTGTGCAGAAGAAAATGCTGCCCATAATCTCAGCAGCGCCCCCCCCCAATCTTACCAGTTCTATTACAGAGATTTTCTTTTCGACTTGTACTTACCTACATAATTTACGTTGTTGAGATCATACTCGGTGTATAACTTACATAATTTACCCAGAGTGAAAATCAGTGGAACTCTTGAAGCCTTTCATAAATGCTTGACTACGTTTAGAGCCCACTCACGTTTGCCACTTTCTGTGACTTTGCAACTCATAGACTTCTGACACTCAGTTTCTTCATTAAAGAAAAAAGAGGCAAGTGGGGGGCAGGAGTCAGACAGCTGTCCTGCCATCCCCACCCCCCCACCCCCCAGGACGCCAGGACCCCGGCGCGTGTGCTTCCGGGCGGACACCCAGCGCTCCCTGACAGCGGGCGGCCACCGCAGTTGACCCTTGAACAACGTGGGTGTGGGGTGTTTTCTGCTAAGTGCAGGAGAGCACTTAAATGTACTTTTTCTTCCTTAAGAGTTTCTTCACATTTTGTTCTCTCTGGCTTACTGTAAGAACACAGTATGTGTAATACAGAGTCCAGAGTACGTGTCTGCTGACTGCTCACAGGAGCTGTCGGGCTTCTGGTCAACAGGAGCCTATTAGTGGTTAAGGTTTTGGGGAGTCAGGAGCTAGACACAGATTTTCAACTGCGGGGGTCGGGGGTGGCACTTCGAACTTCCAGGTGGTCAGGGATCAGCTATATTCGAAACACGAGTGAAAGAAAAAAGGGAAAACGGTTTAGATGTCTTACCCAGGTCATTCTTTCTCAGAAGAAATTATTCTGAACAAATTTCTTTTTTCCAAATGCGATAGCATTGTCCTTCGGTTTCTAACATTCACAATTTTTATAACCACCTAAACTTTTATTCATTTCAGATTGGCCACATTGACGGAGATCCCAGCCGCAAAGGAGCATTTCCCGTATCATTTGTGCACTTTATTGCTGACTGAATTGCTACTGAACAAAAACACTTCTTTTAACAGTTATGTTCCTGTTTGTTATTGGTACCAAAACTCTTGCCAGATGACCAGTTTCATGAAATGTATTGTCCGGTAGCCCACTTTCTCTAACTCTGCTCTTCTGTTTTACAAACTCAAAGGCAACTTGTATGTATAAATGAATTGTTTTTATAATTTGTGGTTTTCATGAAATACTGCCATACTTTTATTAGGGAAAAAACGGAATTTCCTAAAAGGTGAACTGAAAAGTTATTTTAACTCTACGTAATCAAGGTCGTCAATCTACAGAATTAGCTGAACCTAAAAGTATTTGAGTATTAGAAAGAAATTCTTCCAGCCTTTCCTTGGCCTGCTTCTAGAGTCGGTGACCCTTTAGTGCAGCTTTTTAGAAGTTGGTAAACTTGCTTTAGAATTAGTCCAGCCCTGGACTTTCTAGATAAAAGGCTATCAGTTCACCTTTAAAGACTTTTTTTTTTTTAAAGATACATTTAAAGATTTCCTTTGGAATCCACCCAAGGTTTAGTTAAAGCAACTTGGAAATTTACACCTTAGCATTGTACTTTCCAGCCCTAATTTGTGAGGTTGCAACTCACTGTATTCTGCATGCGCGTGTAGCCTGTTGTGAACAATCCTACCTAGCGAAACTACCCATGGTTTATTACGGCATATGGTAATAGCAGCTAATTCAGTTCCACGTTCTCTAAACCTGCATTTCCTGAATTTGGTTAAAAACTAAGGATGATGGATTGCAAAAACAGTTCCTTAAACTAGTTTATATGCTTTAGGTGTTTCGGAATTCGCCTTCTCGACCCTCCTCGGTCACGCAGCTAGAGCACTGTGGTGCAGACCGCACTGTTAACACTTGCTGTTTCCTGAGTGTACCACTGCCTTCCCTCTCCAGCTCCCGGGAATGTTTACTCAACTTAGTGTCTTGTACTTATATACTATACCAACAGGAATGGTAGTTTTACTGTCTTGAACTCGAAGCTGTCCATTTGTTTGTAATCAAGAACATATCAGAAATCTGTAGGTCCCAGGTAATAAAATACTCCCGAGCAGACATCCCCATTTCACAACCGAAGTCCATCACGTCATTCTTAAACTGAAGCTCCTGGGGGTGGGGGGGTTAGGTTGTGTGTGATAAAATCAGAATTCATTAGTTTCACAAACTTGACTGTCATACCTCTATTTAGCAATTGTGAGCCTAAGATTCGTAATAGGAATATTGGACATTTTGGCACTCTTTGAGAATAAATAGGCCTATAATGCCCACTCGGATTTTTACCAGAAGTGAAGGGATAAGTGTAGGTCTGGGCTTGGAAAGCGAGGCAGTGATCCTTTCATCCATGGTGCCGATGGTACATTTGATTGGAGCAGCCCATCTTTATTAGGCAAGACTCTTCTAAGTGCAGAGCCTTTTTTTTTTTTTTAAATTGCATTGTACTTTTTGTTGCTATTATAAAGGAAAACAGAACAAACTGGAATGTTTTATGATGTTGTGTGGCAGTTGCTTTTTAAAGCCTTTCTAAGTTCCGGGTAAAAATGTGTTAGATCTGTAATTAAAGGTTTTTTTTTTTTTTTAAGCACTACATCTATTTTCACTAATTGTTAATTTGTGTTGTTTGAACCCTTCGTTTAGTTAATTCCCTCATAGATTTAAGAAAGTAAACAGATATACTTTGCACAGTGCACTTCTTATGTATATTTTAGCAAAGTCCTCTTGCATCTGTGTCTTATAATCAGCCTTTTGACTACTTGGTGCCAGATATCTAAGGAATTAAAGTTGAGTCTCACCAACATTTAAACACCAGTCCCAAACTAATCTGTCAGGTTCACTGGTACATAAATATCTTGGAAATATTTTTTCCAGCTGACAGTTTGGTGGTGCTATTGTGCAGTAATTAATATTACTCTTGCCAGAGGAGAAATTACATTGACTTCCCTGCTAACATCCTTTCCTAGTTATTTGCTCTTTGCAAATTAAAAAACAACTGAGAGGAAGGAAAACATTGTAGATAACTATTTATATTTAAAGTTTATGTTTCATGAACTTAGCTGCAGGATTCTGGCATTTTGCATATGCCACTTTCCATCAGATCTGACTTCTAGAGATGAGGACTCCAACATGTGCACAGACTCCTAGGTCCTGTGTGATCTGCTACAGGGTGGAGAGCATAATGTGCAGCTTGGAATGCTGTTTGAGATGTATGATACTCAATCCATTCACTTGATTACTTCGATCTAGTTGCAGCGCAACTGTATATATTGTATAACCTAAATCAATTCTTATTTTCGTTGTCCTTAATGCAGTGATTTATAATTAGAGCATGTTCAGTAAGTTGACTCTTCCTGTTAACTAGTCATTTGACTGGAAAAAAATAAAATACTTTTAAACGGACATAGTGTTTTTTGTAATGTTTTTAATCCTTTAAATACTGCGTATTAAAACGGTCCTTTAGAGAAACCCACTCGCCCACTGTGCGTGAGATTCTTTCGACACTATTTAACACGCGCGGTGATCTTTCTTCTCTGAACTCTGAGGTAAATACTTTGGTTTGCTAGCATGCCATCCTGACATACACTTTACTTTTTGTGACCTGAGTTGGCAGTGTTGCTGTTCCAGACCAGTGTGACCAGAGCTCCCAGCCAGCGGGCCCATGTGCTCACAACAGACAGCATTCGTCCTCCTCAGAAAGCCCTCTCTGGGGCACCTGGGTGGCTCAGATGGTTAAGCGTCTGCCTTCGGCTCGGGTCATGGTCCCAGGGTCCTGGGATCGAGTCCCGCATCGGGCTCCCTGCTCCTTGGGAGCCTGCTTCTCCCTCTGCCCCTCTCTCTGTCTCTCATGAATAAATAAATAAAATCTTTAAAAAAAAAAAAAAAAGCAATGTTAGCCTATTTAAAAAAAAAAAAAAAAGAAAGCCCTCTCTGCTCACCTACTCACTGCGTGCACGTCTGTGACACTTAGGTGTTAATGCTCATTTGTGTTTAAAAGTGACGGGGGGGGCGCGCCTGGGTGGCTCAGTCGGTTGAGCCTCTGCCTTCGGCTCAGGTCATGGTCCCGGGGTCCTGGGATCGAGTCCCGTGTCAGGCTCCCTGCTCAGCGGGGAGTCTGCTTCTCCCTCTCCCTCCCCCACCTCCCACTCCTGCTCACTCTCTCTCAAATCTAAAAAAATAAAAGTGACAGATGACATCGGTTTCTTTTTTAGTCCCAGAAAGTAAACAAACAACCTCATTGAGACTTAACTCACTGTAATAAGACACATTTTAATAGAAAAGCAAACGATCACTATTTTATACACTGCATTTCTCCAGAAAATCTCGAGCAGGGGATCACTTTCTATTTCCAGAGTAATTCAGCACTGCAGATTGAAAACCATTGCCCTTCCACACGAAGTCAGCTTCCACTAGACTGCAGAATTCAAGCTTTCTCAGATGTTAATACAGAGTCAAAAGCGGTGGATAAAACTTTGCAGATGGCTTGTGCCTGTTCCTACGGTTAAGTGAAAAACATACAGTAAGAGACTTCACCGACCTCTTCCTGAATTAGTGTGGCCAGCAAAGGTATAAATGTGACCCTCTTAACACCTCCCCTACACCTGCACACCAACAGCTTTGGGAAGCCCGGACACCACATCCCCGGGCCGCCTCCTGCGTTCCCTCTGGGAGAAGCACCTGCGGCTGTGTAGGAACTGGGCCTTTGGGAAGGACGCCGATGCGTCAGTGGGGTGATGGCTACGGAACAGGATGGGCTTCCGCCCCGGCTCCGCGTCTGCCCTGCCCTCGAGATGCCCGCACAGGTGAGTGCTCATCCCGGCCCAACTGACCGCCCATGGCAGGTCCTGGCAGCTGGCTGACCGCCGGGCCTGATGGTCACCCGCGCTCTGCCGGGCGTCAGATGCCCTGTGGGTGGCATCTCCTCGGCCTCCCAGAAGACTGGCCACTCCTCTGGCTTTACCGCCTCGCCCGGTGAATGAGACTAAGCAAGGCAACGTGAAACCTCACCAGGCTGTTGCACTGATAGACCCAGAGGCTGTACCCCTCGTTGCTTGCGTCGGTGGTCTTCAGGGCCAGTAGGCTTTTTCCGGCCCCCAAACCGTCGTCGTAACACACCATGCGGATGATTAAATACAGAGCGTGCCTGTGTAAGACATCCTGCGGAAGTCAGGAGAAAGAAAGATCGGGACTCTTGACATATTGACCTTTTCTGTGCAGAATTTACTCTGAGGCTTTAAACAGAGCATATCTATGCATCTGGCAGAAAACAGTTGTAGAGGTGTTTTTCCCCCTAAGGGACATTGCAGAATGCTCAGTTATGGGGCCGCTTGCCTTCAGGGTTATCCCTTCTTACTAAAAATTCCAGAAAAACAGGAGTAAGCCCTGAGTTCACGGTCCTGTTCCCTGTGCCCAGCGTCCACACTGACAACTGCTGAGCTGGCGCAGGGTCCTAAGCTGAAACCACATGAGGGGCCGGCAGTGGGGGGGTGTTGGCCGGGGCCCACCATCCAGGAGAAGCAAAAGGAGGCCTCTCTTCATTCACCCTAAGAAATCGGTCATTTTTTAGGACCAGCTGCCAGGAATGTTTACCAAGCAACAGTTCTGCAAACGAGCAGAGAGAACAAGTGGGCCCTTAGCAGCCTGACTGCCAAGTACCTGAAACCCACTTTTTCCCTAATAAATTCTCTTACTTACATACTGATCTGATGTTGATACTTTTATACCATACTTGGAAACTCCCATAATGAATTCTTCCTCCAGAGGAACGAAAGGCAACTTCCCATCTTGCTTTAAAGTAAAAATAAATCACATGAGCTACGTTAAAAAGTATGTTACATTCCTTAAATCTGATTAGTCAAGTTTAATATCTGGCCATCACAAATCCAAACCCTTTCGAGAACGCGGGGTATGCAACAGCCCAGCAAAAATTGTTCCTCAAAGAGGCAGAAGGAAAATTGTTGCCAGGGTTTGGTTTGGTTTGGTTTTCATGTCCACAGACCTGAGCAAAATTCACATCCATTTGTCTTGATGTTCTCCCTAATTGCAAACGGAGATCCCACTCACAGATCCCAGTGAGGCTTAAGTATTTACATTAGAAAAATAAAGATATTTAGATTTTAAAATACTCA